GTGTAGTTCTACCAGCCGTTTGTTGTAGTCCTTAAAAAGTGATTTCTCCCTTTGCTTTGAACCTTGAACCTCGTAACTTTTTCAAACTAAGTAAAGTTAGAAAAGCTTTGGCTGTTAGTTTCAAACGCATTTGTGTAAAACATGACGGTCTAACCTTACTGTCCAGCTTCTTCATCGTGACCAGATCCAAGGATTTGAGCGAGTGTCCCGAGGGAGCGATGAAGTACAGGCAGGCGTGGATCCTGGAGTCGTGGTAGTTATGGAGAGAGCGCTTGATCTTCAGCTCCTCTTGTAAGTACGACTCAAACTGTGTGTCGATGTAATCCACTATGTGCTGGTAACTGGGAGAGAGAGAGGCAGAGCTTCAATATAAGCACAAATGCTTTAGTTTTTTTGTTCTTAAATATGATTTTTCATTATTTACAATCATTCACTTTTAATGTACTACAACAATGGTGCATCACTATCAAATAACAAAAAGTGCATCCAAATACAATTGCACAATTCGAAACACTCTCCCGTCTATGTAAACACAAACTTTTATTTTTGATGTGATTAAAATGAGATAAATCGTGCAGATATAAAAGTGCATGTTAACTTACTTTTTTCTCGCAATTCTGAGTTTTTCCCACAATTCTGACTTTTTTCTCACAATTACGAGTTTATCTCATAATTCGGACTTTTTTCGCGTAATTACAAGTTTACATCCCACAATTCAGACTTTTTTCTCGCAATTCTGACTTTTTTCTCACAATTACGAGTTTATTTCCCACAATTCTGACTCTTTTCTAGTGATAACGAATTTACATCCCACAATTCTGACTTTTTTTCTCGTAATTACGAGTTTACATCCCACAATTCTGACTTTTTTTCTCGCAATTACGAGTTTATCCCACAATTCGGACTTTTTTCTCGTAATTACGAGTTTATCCCACAATTCTGACTTTTTTCTCACAATTACGAGTTTATTTCCCACAATTCGGACTTTTTTCTCGTAATTACGAGTTTATCCCACAATTCTGACTTTTTTCTCACAATTACGAGTTTATTTCCCACAATTCGGACTTTTTTTCTCGTAATTACGAGTTTATCTCACAATTCTGACTTTTTTCTCGTAATTACAAGTTTACATCCCACAATTCTGACTTTTTTCTTGCAATTCTGAGTTAATTTCCCACAATTCTGACTTTTTTCTCACAATTACGAGTTTATCCCACAATTCGGACTTTTTTCTCGTAATTACGAGTTTATCCCACAATTCTGACTTTTTTCTCGTAATTACAAGTTTACATCCCACAATTCGGACTTTTTTCTCACAATTACGAGTTTATTTCCCACAATTCTGACTTTTTTCTCGCAATTCTGAGTTTATTTTCTCACAATTCTGACTTTTTTCTCGTAATTACGAGTTTATCCCACAATTCTGACTTTTTTTTTCGTAATTACAAGTTTACATCCCACAATTCTGACTTTTTTCCCACAATTCTGACTTTTTTCTCACAATTACGAGTTTATTTCCTACAATTCTGACTTTTTCTCACAATTACGAGTTTACATCCCACAATTCTGACTTTTTTCTTGCAATTACGAGTTCATATCCCTAAATTCTGACTTTAAGATGAATTAAGAAGAAAATCGTGCAGATATAAAAGTGCATGTTAACATACGTAACGTTATTAATGTTATAACAGGACTGACCTCTCCTGCTTGTTCATCTGATCGCCAAAGCCGACGGTGTTAACCACAGTGAGCTTCAGACGGACATTACTCTCCTGAAGATCGTACGTCTGCGCTCGCAACTTCACCTTCGGTTCAAAATGAGAAGACTCGAAATTCTCAAAATTGGTGTTGAAAAGCGTGTCCATCAATGTTGATTTGCCAATCCCCGTTTCGCCTGGGAAAAAGAAAGATTTACGATATAAATGCTGCTGATTTCATAAGTATTATTTACTGTATGCACTCATATTCACGACACAGATCGTGTTCAGGGTGGACGTGAATTCTTGAAGTCACAGCAATATCGAAGCTTGTTTCTGCCACGGAATACAGTAAAAATGGTAATTGCGACTTTTTATCTCACAATTGCGCTTTTTTTTCTTAGTATCGTGATACAAACTCATAATTCTGACTTTTTTCCTCGCAATTGCGAATTTTATTTCCTTCTGAATCTGACTGTTTTCTCAGAATTTATAAAAATTCTTACTTTTTTCTCGCGAATTCTGAGTTTATTTCCCACAATTCTGACTTTTTTCTCGCAATTCTAAGTTTATTTCCCACAGTTCCAACCTTTTTCTTGCAATTCTGACTTTATTTCCCACAATTCTGACTTTTTTCTCGCAATTCCGAGTTTATATACCACAATGAGTTTATTTCCACCAATTCTGACTTTTTTCTCGTAATTACAAGTTTACATCCTACAATTCTGACTTTTTTTCTCGCAATTATGAGTTTATTTCCCACAATTCTGACTTTTTTCTCATAATTACGAGTTTACATCCCACAATTCTATCTTTTTTTTTCTTGCAATTCTGAGTTTATTTCCCACAATTCTGACTTTTTTCTCACAATTACGAGTTAACGTTAACACGGGCCTTTGTGTTCAGCGGTAAAAATGTGAAATCAGTCCATTCTGTTATTGCTTTACATCTTAAAATCTAATTTAAATACAACTGCTCAAGCTACATGTGTGTAGCATCTTTGTTTAGATCGTGAATTCAGTGGTTGCCTCTAATTTCAAATGGCTACAGATTTTGTCAAAGGCCTGTAACAGAACACATAAACAACAAATAAATTTAATTAAAGAAGAAAAAAAATCACTAATTGCTAATTTGCTTGTAATTTTTTTTTTTAATTGGTCGTGAAAAATTATGATCATTGCATGTTGTTTTCTATCAATTGCAAGTTTATATTCCAAGCCAGAAACAAGCGATCACTGACCATAAAAATAATTAGCCTACTTTTCAATGCAATTTTGGCATCTGTCAATCAATTCAAACTATTTAAACACATCTCTTGTACTTTCCAGTCATTATTCTTACCAATGCAGAGGATGTTGAAGCAGAATCCCTGACTCGTGGACTTGTTCACCAGCTGATCTGGCAGACTGTCAAAGCCAACATGGCCTGATAGAGCCAGCGGACGGGCGTTCTTGTCCTGGGAGATACGAGTGAGAGAGAACATGACGAGAACGCAGTGTTGGAAACCGACAGAGCGCTTCAAGCTGCTTTACAAATCATTCTAACATGTCTCTATCAGATTGACCCCAATTATCATAACTCATACTTCACAGTTTTACATCTTTCAATTTGACAAAAATTGGTCTCATTGCCTTCATCAGGCATACAAACATTCAAACTCAATCCCTTTTAAAATATTCACATGATGACCAATCAATGTAAAGATCCATTTGCAACCAATTAGGCTAACTAACCCCACATCATCATCATCATCACATCTTTCAATTTTAATAGGTTCTCAATGTGGTATCAAACTTCTAGATCTGCTGAATATTCCATATAACTATAGATGTATAACAATAAAGGATGCACCAATATGAAAATATTGGCCGATATAGTTAATTTCTTTATATTGGAAAGCCGATAACCAGTATATTGGACGATAAATCTAAATGCACATTTTTATATAATTTGTGAGAGCCTGATTGAAAAAAAAAGATAAAAAAGTCTAATCATGCAGACAATATGACAGACTAGCGCTGCACTTTACTGTATTTTACTTTTTTTTTTTAAGTGATTCGCATCATATTTCAAGCAATTCAAACTAAGCCATCATGTTGAACAGTGCGAATCTGAAGTGTCTCAGCTGAAGGATATAATCCATCATTTAATGGCTTTAATATATCAGCCAAGTTTTAAACATTAAAAATGAACATAAAGCCTGGGCAATTTGATAGTGTTATGGTGGCCAATATATTGTGCAATGTGCATCCCTAATTGCTTTAACATAAAACGTCAAATATCCCTAACAGGTTAATAAATCCACTGGCTTGTATACTTCTTTAATAAATAAATAAATAAATAAAAATAAACATCAAATGAAATATTATCAACTGTTTCCAATATTGATAATAAATGAGTATCAAATCATCATATTAGAGTGATTTCTGAAGGATCATGTGACACTAAACACTGGAGTAATGATGCCTGAAAATTTAGCTGTGCATCACGGAAAAAAGTTATATTTTAAAGTACATTCAAATAGAAAACCATTCTTTTAAATTTTAATAATATTTCTCAGCCTACTGTTCTTTCTGTATTTTCAACCAAATAAATGCAGCCTTAATGAGCATAAGACTGCGTTCAAAATTCACATTAAAAATAGTAATGTTTACAAACTTTTAATGGTACCGTATTTAGATTCCTCATTCAGATTCATACATCATATACATGTATTCAAATAGATAAATCAGAAAACTCTATTCGCATCGATTACTTGGATGTTTTGTATTTTGATTAACCATTAATAAATTTGTTTAGGTTTTTTATTCAGATTCATAAATCAGATACATGTATTAAAATAGATAAACTAAATCAGATAACTCTATTAATCGGATTTTTGCATTAATGTTGTTTGTATAAAAGAGGAACGCGCGCGCCAGTGAGTGAAATAGTTGAGCGCAGGTCCAGACACTCCCAAGCGCGCTCACGCCAACTCACTCCCACTGTCACAAACTTCACACAGTCATAGAAACAAGAAAAGAGTCAGAACCTGGAATATGTGGATCTCAAACATACCATCTGTCGAACCACATCAGAGGATGCCATTAGCGCGCAGGAAAATTGCAAATATTTGCTGAAATCTCGGTTCTCTTTCGGGTGAAAGTCAAAAGTTGCTGTGACCCGCCTCGGCTCGTCCAAATAATTCCAGCTGACACACCACTGGGAACATCTGCGCTACCATTTCGCAGTTTTTGAGGGGTTTTGTCTGAATTTTAATCGACATAGTAAAACGACTTCATATGCCACATATTTTAGCGAGCACTTTCATTAACCTTTACAACATTTTTACCCAAATAAAAGCTACAACGCATTGTCGACTTCATTAAATATTACCTCTACTATTCAGCATATTCTCAACCCCCCCTTGTCCCAGCAAAGTGGTACGTTCCAAGTACGGACTCACCCTGAGTGCTGTAGAGATGTAACTGGAAGCCATTTTGGCTCAACCCGAAGCCGCCAGCAGTGTTGACGCCGAGCTCGTTTGAGCCAGAATGAAGGTTCTAGTACTCCAGTTTCACATTAGTGATTCTATTCTCCCAAGAGGAGTTGCTAGGATGCAAACATCATTATAAGCTCTACCGACCCCTATCTGACACACTGCATACATTACTCAATTACATCTACAAAGACGCCCGGACAAACGATTTATCGATGTCCGATGACGTTAATTTATTCAATCGCGGCTTATGTATATAAATATAAAACATGATATAATGGCGACGGGGTGCACGCAAGAATCCGTTCTGGACTTTCTATTGGAAAACGGGGGGCGTGTGAAAAACAAGGACTTGATAGCGCATTTCAAAGTCTTCCTAAGCAGTGAAAATACGAAGCGAGCCGTGTTAAAAGAGAGATTTAAGCGTTTTGTGGACAATATCGCGTATGTTAAGCAGGAAAACGGGGAGAAAGTGGTGTGTTTGAAGAAGAAGTACAGATACGCGGAGATACGGAGCGGGCGCGCGCAGGATGAGAAGCCCGATGTGGATGATGTGGATGATGATGATGAAGAAGACATCAATAAAGGATTGAAAGCGTTGCAGTTAGGAGAGAACGTCTATGTTAAGGCAGAAACTGGTGAAAAACATGATCTGAATATAAAATCTGAGGTGCACGCAGGCGCTGTTACTGTGAGAGATGCTGAATGTGAGGAGGTGTGTGTGTCAGACATCGCACTGATCGAGAAAGACAGTTCTTCCGTTTCTCACTGTGATCTCTCAGAGGGATCTAATGATAATGATAGCAAAACAAGTGTTCCAGAGCTTTCCAATGCCCAGCCAACCGGACAGCCGGAATCTAGGGCAGGAGAACTGGAGTTGAAGGCTACAGTTGGCAAAGCTTGCGTCACATCATCATCATCATCCCAGGTCATCACTATTCGCCGGAGAACATCGAGGGGATCTCAGCGCAGTTTGCTGGGCTCTTCTGAGGATGGTGCACAGTCACATGATGGACAGTCTGAGGAGGCCAGCACCCCGAAAGGCAGCCGCAAGAACTTCATCGAGTTGATGAAGAGCAGTTCTCCACAGGTGAGACTGACTGCTGCAAATGCCTGCAATATAATGCATATAATGTGTAATACAAATGCATCATAATGCAAATGCACATCATATATAATGTAAATGTACAAAATGATTATAATATATAATGTAAATAATTAATATAATACATAATGTAAATGTTCATAATGCACATGCTATATAATATATAAATGCATATAATGGATAATGCAAATGCACAAATTTTAATACATATAATATGAATGCACATAAAGAATCAATGTATAATCGAAGCATACAATATATGATGTAAATGCACATAATGCATTTAATATTTAATGAAAATGCAAATACTGTAATCCATATAATATGATCAAAATGATGTAATATATAATGCAAATGCACATAATGCATATGATATAAAATGCAAATACTGTAATGCATATAATATGTAATCTAAATGCATGTAATATATAATGTAAATGCACATAAAGCATGTAATGTATACCATATATATAATCCAAATGCAAATAATGCATATTAATATGTAATGAAAATGCAAATACTGTGATGCTTATAATATATAATCCAAATGCACATAATGCATATTAATATATAATGCAAATTCACTTATTGTAATGCATAATAATAACATAATACGAATGCACATAAAGCATTGAATATGCAATCTCAATGCACGTACTGTAGTCAAGTCAAGTCACATTTATTTATATAGTGCTTTTTACAATACAGATTGAATCAAAGCAGCTTCACAGTAATGCATAATGCATATATAATGCAAATGCATGTACTGTAATATATAATACGAATGCACGTAAAGCATATAATATATAATGCAAACATACTGTAATCCATAATAACATATAATACAAATGCACATAAAGCATTTGATATGTAATCTAAATTCACGTATTGTAATGCATAATGCAAATGTTAATAATGCATATAATATATAATGCAAATGCACATGCATATAATATATAATGTGTACATGTAATACACATGCAGGTGAGGCGCTCACTGGTGCATCGCAGCCACGGCCACACGTCCTGCAGAAACAGTGAGTTCAGATCGTCATCTGTGGAGGAGGACTGTGCGTCGGTAACCTTAGACCCACTGGAGCACGAGTGGATGATGTGTTCGGCAGATGGGGAATGGGACAGTCTCCAGCGGCTGCTCGTGTGTGAACCCACACTCATCTCCAAGAGGGACTTCGTGACCGGCTTCATGTGTCTGCACTGGGCGGCCAAGCAAGGCAAACTCGAGCTCTTCGCAAAGCTGGTGGATTTCGCCAAGCGGAACAACGTGTGCATCGACGTCAACGCGCGGTCGAGCGCCGGCTACACACCCCTGCACCTCGCGGCCATGCACAATCACGTCGAGGTGGTGAAGCTCCTGGTCGGGGCTTACGATGCCGACGTCGACGTGAGGGATTACAGCGGGAGGAAAGCGTCTCAGTACCTGAAAGACACCGTCACAGGGGACATTAAAGACATCATAGGGGACTGTGCGCACTCGGATATGGAGAACGCGTCGGGAGCCGGACGATGGAAGCTTCCCAGAGTCCTTCCGTCAAACCTGAACCCGCTTCGGCTGCTGAACCACCCCGAGGAGATCGCAGGAGATGCCAAACCCAGGTCTCTGTACCGGAAGTCGTCCATCGGGCGGATCCGGCTCCAGAGGAACCGCTTCAAAACGCAGATCGTTCACAGCACTTCATTCAGGGAGAGCGAGGAGGGAGAGGATTCGCTCAAGAGCCCGGTCAAATCCAGGCCCGTGTCAAATCTCTTCGGCTGAGATGGGAGTATAATAGATGCAAATTATGCAAATCAGCAGCCTGATAGGTTTACGTCTGACGGCGTGATTTAGGTGTTTTGGTTACACTTTACTTAACCCTCAGGTGCTCTTCGTTTCGGAGTCACACTTGTTATCTTCCCGGTCAAAAGTGACCGGACACCTAAAAATTAGGGCTGTGCAAAAGTTAATTGCGATTAATCGCATCCAAAATAAAAGTCTGTGTTTACATAATATATTTGTGTGTAACTGTATATAATTATTTTGTATATATAAATACCTATGCATGCATGTATATATTTAAGAATTATTTGCACATATATATAAATACATAATCTATATTATATACATATAAATATTTTATATATGAATAACACATTTTCTTAAATATATACATGCATGTGTGTGTATTTATATATAAAAAAATAATTATATACAGCACACACAAATATATAATGTTAACACAGACTTTTATTTTGGATGCGATTAATCGCAATTAATTTTTGCACAGCCCTACTAAAAATTAAACTTTCTCCATCCCAGTAAAACCAATGCAATTTTTTTTTTTGTTCTATAATATTTATTTCTTTTTAATTTAGTATTTTGAGACAATTTAATTGAATTTATTAATATTTATGCAATATTTACGGTTTATTTTTGCCATGGAAAAATACATATGTTTTTCTATATATATATTATTTTTTTCCAAAAAATATGAATGCAGTATTTTAGTTTAATATAGAGTCTAGGCCTTCAGAAAAAAATATTTTTTGAAGAAAATTAGCACCATCTGGTTACAGTATAGAGGAAAAGCGTAGAATCATGGTGTAACCACTAGATGGCATGTACAGCTCTCTATGGAGAGGCATGTGAATTCCCCAGCTGTTGTTGTTGGTGGATTTGAATATATAGTTGAAACAATCTCAAAAACTATTTCTTATAAAAAAAAATGACAAAAAACAAAAATTCACAATTAAAAAAAAAAAATTTTTTGACCAAAGACCACAAGTGTGACTATTTTTTTAAGACCACTTAGCATGCTCGGATCATGACCTCAATTTTTTTTTGTGTTCACATACATAATGCCATAAAAGTCACCAAGTTTCGTAACATTCCTATGAAGCTGTGATTTTTAAAATTTCAAAACAGAAAATGTTTCAGTCACAAATGACCGAAGAGCACCTGAGGGTTAAAGAGTCCCCTTGTGGTGAAAATCAAGTTTTTAATGTGGTGTCGAACTGCAGTGAACCAAAGACAGTCTTAAAAACACGGTTTGGTGTTTCTGTCGTCACAAACGACCTTGTAACCAATCAGATCAACGCGTGATCACCAACCTGTGGATCTCTGAGTGAGTGGAGGCGGGGCTCATTTGCATATTCATAGAATCGCGTATACTAAATGAGGCGACACAGCAAGCAGTTTTGAGTCCAAATGCAACCCAGACGACTAAACAAGGCAACATTTGGGCTGTCAATTAAAATTGAAGAGACGTTTAAACCATAGCCCAAAAATAGACTAGTTATCAATACATTTAAATATCATTAAATATGTCATTTTGGTGATCAAAGATTACAATTATTAAATGCAGGAGGAGTTTAAAGCCTATGTATAAAGTTATTCATAATGTATATTATTATATTGCATAGTATCATGAATAATTGTAACAAAAGTTAAAATAAATTATAATATTTGCAAATCTAAAATGCTGGTTTTAATGCATTTATTATAATGTATTATTATACCGGCGGTTACAATGCAATCATACAGTGCAATGAGATGCATAATTAAATACTGTTATAATGCATTATATAAAGGCTTTAAGTGAAGTGCTGCTGCTTTTTAAAATAAAAATAAGATTAGACTAAACTTTTTAATAAAAATAAGCAGAAAAGCACTGAATTGATTAACATAAAGACTAATATAATTTAAAAAAAATATTTAAATAGATAATGCATCTAACACCGTGGTACTATAGTGAGTAGAAAAAAAAACACAAAAATAGAAACTATTTTTTACATATTTCATTTTTTCACAGTATAAATTGGGTTTTTACACATGAGAATATATGCGGAGCTGCCTTTTAAATTACCAGGAACTGAAACGATTTTTAATGCAATCATCACTTTCAACAAAATTATGCACGACTATTTTAGGGAACACTTTATTTTACAGTGTCCATGTAATAACAGTAAATTATGCATAATTACATGCAACTATCCCTCAACCAAACCTTACAAAAGTAAGGACATGTAGTTGCTTAATATTACTCAGTACTGAAATATATAATTACACTGCTACAATGACACCTTAAAATAAAGTGTAACCCTATTTTATTTGAACGACTTTGTAATGAACATGTAAATATTTCTAGATTATTTCTGAATTCATCTCCACGGATGCACTTTGTGTTTGTGTTGCGTGTGATTGTCCTGTTGAAGGTGCCGTGCCTTTAATCTTCCAAACAATCAACATGCATTCAGACTGTTATCCTATAAGTGTGTGTTTGTGCGGAAGCGTATTGCATTCACTTGAGGAAAAACAATCTACTCTGTTTTTTCTGAATTAACGAGTTTAATTATCTCAGAATTATGAGAATTTTTCACAGAAAAAAGTTTTTGCACTGTTTTTCTGAATTAACGAGTTAATTATGTCAAAATTACGAGATATTTTTCATGAAAAAAGGTTTTGCTCTGTTTTTCTGAATTAACAAGTTTATTATCTCAGAATTACGAGATAATTTTTCACTGAAATTTTTTTTTTCTGTTTTTCTGAATTAACGAGTTAATTATGTCAGAATTACGAGAATTTTTCACGGAAAAAAGTTTTTGCTCTGTTTTTCTGAATTAACGAGTTAATTATGTCAGAATTACGAGATAATTTTTCACTGAAAAAAGTTTTTTCTCTGTTTTTCTGAATTAACGAGTTAATTATGTCAGAATTACGAGATAATTTTTCACGAAAAAATTTTTTTGCTCTGTTTTTCTGAATTAACGAGTTAATTATGTCAGAATTACAAGATATTTTTCATGAAAAAAAGTTTTGCTCTGTTTTTCTAAATTAACAAGTTTATTATCTCAGAATTACGAGATAATTTTTCACTGAAAAAAGTTTTTTCTCTGTTTTTCTGAATTAACGAGTTAATTATGTCAGAATTACGAGATATTTTTCGTGAAAAAAAGTTTTGCTCTGTTTTTCTAAATTAACAAGTTTATTATTTCAGAATTACGAGATAATTTTTCACTGAAAAAAGTTTTTTCTCTGTTTTTCTGAATTAACGAGTTAATTATGTCAGAATTACGAGTTTTTTTCGTGAAAAAAGGTTTTGCTCTGTTTTTCTGAATTAACAAGTTAATTATCTCAGAATTACGAGATTTTTTTCATGGAAAAAAGCAGAGCAAAATTTTTTTTCATGAAAAATGATCTCGTAATATGATATAATTAACTCATTAATTAAGAAAAACAGAGTCGATTTTTCCCTCAAGTAAATGCGATACGCTTCCATGTGTGTGTCGTAGCGACGTTTAAAAAGCTGCTTTAAGAGAGTGTGTAATTCCAGGACCAGTTACTGTTACCCAATGCACTTTTAGCTGATCACATGTACTAATCTTCATGATATTATTAGACCTCCAATAGAAAACTAATCCCAAATGTGTCTTTAAAGTGCCTTTTTTGATAATGAAACGGATGTTTTAGGCACGTGTCATTTTAAAATATCCAGAAATACACACACACATATATATATGTATAAAGATCCTTCCAACTAGATGTTTACATTCCCTGCAGACAGTGTGAGTGTTTGTGTCTCGTGATGTTTTGCTCATTCATGCCTGAACAAACACTGAAGTTTTGAGCAAATAAACTGAGGAATGACACTGAAGTTTACTGTGAGTTCATTATTCAGGATCTGATCAGATGTTTTACAGGATATGTTGAGGATGGAAGTCCATTAGACAAGAAGTTTAAAACAAAATGCTTTGCAATGTAAAAAAAATATGTTTGAAAGTCATTACAGGATAAAAGCCTCAAACATCACATCATCGGTCATGTGACACACAGGTCATGAGTTAACACACACCAGGCAGATTAAACTCCATAATCTGAGCGGCAGGATCAGAAATGAACACAAAACACCTTATAATACTCTACTATTGTACAAATGTCAAATCAATGCTGTAAAATTCACTCATTTTTGGATCAAATTCTTGAATCCAGGCTTTTTTCCCATTAGAAAGAAGCATTTTTTAAGAGAAAAAATCTCCTGGATCCGTCGCTGTTAACAGAGATTTGCAGAAGATTAACATTGTTTCTCGATCTGCTGACGTGTAGAGTTTGAGTTTAGTCTTATTTCAACATCAGACCTCATAAACTTCCACTTTGCATATAATCGGTGAGAATTAGTCATAAATAAGAATGATGCATCGACTTTTCTGTCCACCAAAACAAGGTTTTTCAATATTTTAGATGCCAAATATGATCTTGACCACGTCTGTAAATTTAAATAAAAAAAATATTTTTTATAAACATCCAACTTATACAATGAAAAAAAAATCATATTATAAATTTAAAATTTGTTTATATTAATTTGCATTATTATATATTTTAATTAATTAATATAGGAATCACCATCATATTATTAGCTATTATTTGTTTATATATTAAATGTAATCTATTTAATATATATATATATATATATATATATATATATATATATATACATGTAACTAATGATTTTTTTAATAAAAAAATTTATGAAACCCATGCAAGAAAGAAAATTTTTCTAAAAATAATTCTAGTTTTAAAGGATAGATTATAATTGCTTGATTGCCTGTGTCTCTTTAATAATTTTGTGTAAAGAGGTTGCATAATTTCTCTATTGTTTTAAACATAAATTATATATATATATATATATGCTTTTTTATTTTATTTTTATATATATTTTATTAATTTATTTATCACATCACATCATGATCTAAGAGTTGCTTTATGATCTGACATTATTATGTGTCTTGAGAACTTTAATTCAGATTAAACTTTATTTTGATGAATTCGAAGTAAATTGAGCTGCAGGTCAAACAGTCGCCAAGCGAGGGCAGCAGAGCTCCTCTCCAACTTCCGGCTCCGTGTGACGTTTGCGGAAGCTGTAAACATCATGTCCGTTTGTTTCAACTGAGAGCGGACTGCTGTTGTTATTTATGCTTCAGTCCGAACAATTCAGAAAGGTTAGTAAACATTTACGTGTCTAAATATGATTCCCTTCATCTGTGCTCACGAGCTGAGTGTCACTGTCGCCTGTTTAAACCGGTCAATGATTCCGATATCAATAACTCATCAATAATGATCATCATCTCTCGCTCTAACTGTGTGTCTGATCTCTAATCAGCGATTCATTAAAACAAGTGACTCTCTGTAAGGTGTAATGTACTGATGTTATTAGTCACATGGACCGTGTTTTTTCACCAAAAAAAAACGTGGTTATAACAATTATTATGGTGTTAAAATCATAATAAATTCTCAAACAGACTCTGTGATTTTTTGTATCGGTGACTGAGCTGTGAATGTTAAGTTCCCACACACTAGTCTTGTTGTAATATTAATAACTAGTACAGATATCATCCAGTAATAGTTCATGATCATCAGTATCCGCTGGAATCTAAAATCTATCAAAGGATAATAGACAAAATTCACAAAACATTTGAAAAAAGAGTTTATGTAATGGAAATGTATTATATATGTGCATGAGATGTTCTGTCAGAAAAACACTGACATATAAACCCTCCAAAATTCAGATCTGTGTTATTTTAGGATTTGTTTTAATATATTATTGTATGTAGTATGTATGTATTCATATTTTGAATTAGTTTTTATTTTTATATTTTCCATCTAAGTTTTAGGCCTAGGTCTTTTTGTTTTGTCTATTTTTTTTTAAATATCTGTGTTTTTATTAATTTTAGTTGCGTTATGTTCCGTTTTAGTAATTTTAGTATTTTTGCTGAAAGTTTTTTTTATTTATTTCAGTTATTTACTTTATTTCAGTTAACTTTTTGTTTTAGTGAAAACAAAAAGTAGAAATGTTACCCAGTCAACTAACAGGAATCTTTACTGAAAGTATCACTGAAAGTTTCAAAAATGCTTAATTAACGTATTTAGTAAGTTTTAGTCATTCTGTTTTGTCATTTTTTGTTCTAGTTTTATTGCAACCATCAGTTTGAAGCTCAAAAGTGCATCTATTCATGATAAAAGTGCAACTATCCATCATAAAAGTGCATCTATTTATGATAAAGGTGCATCTATCCATTATAAAAGTGCATCTATAAATGATAAAAGGGCATCTATTTATGATAAAGGTGCATCTATCTATCATAAAAGTGCATCTATACATGATAAAAGGACATCTATTTATGATAAAAGTGCATCTGTCCATCATAAAAGTGCATCCATGCATCATAAAAGTGCATCTATTTATGAAAAAATGCATCTCTCCATGATAAAAGTGCATCTATCATTATAAAAGTGCATCTATACATGATAAAAGTGCATCTGTCCATCATAAAAGTGCATCTGTCCATCATAAAAGTGCATCCATACATCATAAAAGTGCATCTATCCGTCATAAAAGTGCATCTATCCGTCATAAAAGTGCATCTATCCGTCATAAAAGTGCATTTATCCATCATAAAAGTGCATCTATTTATGATAAAAGTGCATCTGTCCATCATAAAAGTGCATCTATTTATGATAAAAGTGCATCTGTCCATCATAAAAGTGCATCTGTCCATCATAAAAGTGCATCTATTTATGATAAAAGTGCATCCATACATCATAAAAGTGCAAATATCAATCATAAAAGTGCATCTATTTATGATAAAAGTGCAAATACCGATGATAAAATGAATATTTATATAATATTTTCATTTCAAAGTGAACTACTCCTTTAAGTGAAGACTGATCTGTCTCTTTCTCTCTCCAGTCTGAAGCGTCCACGATGACGTCTATAGTCACCGACACCGCGGAGGCCGTGGATCTGTGTCCGGAGAACAACCTCTACCTGAAGCCCATCGCCAAAATGACCATCAGCGTTGCTCTTCCTCACCTCAAGATGCCGGGAAAGTCCATCTCCAACTGGGAGGTGATGGAGAGGCTGAAGTCTATGGCTCATCCGGACCAGTTCTCCTCGCTCCGAATCTCCAAGAGCACCATGGACTTCATCCGCTTCGATGGCGAAGTGGAGAACAGGAGCGTTGTGAAGCGACTCCTGAGCAAACTCGAGGGGAAAAGCATCAAGCTGAGCGGATTCACGGATGTCCTGAAGGTGCGCACGGCCGAGAACAAAACCGATTTCCCGACACGCCACGATTGGGATTCGTTTTTCCGGGACGCCAAGGATATGAACGAGACTGTGCCGGGGGAGCGTCCCGATACCGTTCATCTGGAAGGCCTTCCTTGTAAATGGTTCGCCCAGAAGGACGGCTCTCCCGACAAGCCTTCGGAAGCGATGCTCAAAACCGTTTTCGAGCGGTTCGGAAAGATTCGTAACGTCGACATTCCCATGCTGGATCCTTACCGAGAGGAGATGACCGGGAAGAACTTCAACACGTTCTCGTTCGGAGGGCACTTGAACTTTGAGGGGTACGTGCAGTATCTGGATCACACGGGGTTCGTGAAGGCCATGGACTCTCTGAGAGGGATGAAGCTCATGCTGAAAGGGGATGATGGGAAAGCCGTGGCCTGCAGTATTAAGGTGATGGTTCGTACAGCAGTAAATATGAAGCTTTAAGATGTTAATTATAAGCATAACATGAACATTCATCCTCTCAGGTGACCTTTGACACGACGAAACACCTGAGTGATTCCTCGCTGAAGAAACGACAGCAGGAGCGACTGAAACTGCAGGAGCTCGAGAAACAGCGAGAGGAGCAGAAACGCAGAGAGAAGGAGGAAGAGGAGCGGCGGAAGGAGGACGAGAGGTATGGCCTTTAGTTTATACTCATGTATCCATCCATCCATCCATCAACTAGCATGGTATCCTTCTGAAACATGCTAGCAATACGGTAAAATATTTACTAGCAACTGCACTGCAACACCCAGAATATCTTCAAAACTGTATAGCAACACCCTAGCAACCATCCAGAATACCCTCAAAACTGCATAGCAACACCCTCGCAACCACCCAGAAAACCCTCAAAACTGCATAGCAACACCCTAGTAACCATCCAGAATACCCTCAAAACTGCATAGCAACACCCTAGCAACCACCCAGAATACCCTCAAAACTGCACTGCTACACTCTAGCAACCATCCAGAATACCCTCAAAACTGCATAGCAACACCCACTAACCATCCAGAATACCCTCAAAACTGCACTGCTACACTCTAGTAACCACCCAGAATACCCTCAAAACTGCATAGCAACACCCTAGCAACCACCCAGAATACCCTCAAAACTGCATAGCAACACCCTAACAACCACCCAGAATACCCTCAAAACTGCACTGCTACACTCTAGCAACCATCCAGAATACCCTCAAAACTGCATAGCAACACCCTAGTAACCATCCAGAATACCCTCAAAACTGCACTGCTACACTCTAGTAACCACCCAGAATACCCTCAAAACTGCATAGCAACACCCTAGCAACCACCCAGAATACCCTCAAAACTGCATAGCAACACCCTAGCAACCATCCAGAATACCCTCAAAACTGCATAGCAACACCCTAGTAACCACCCAGAATACCCTCAAAACTGCACTGCTACACTCTAGTAACCACCCAGAATACCCTCAAAACTGCATAGCAACACCCTAGCAACCACCCAGAAAACCCTCAAAACTGCATAGCAACACCCTAGTAACCACCCAGAATACCCTCAAAACTGCATAGCAACACCCTAGCAACCATCCAGAATACCCTCAAAACTGCATAGCAACACCCTAGCAACCATCCAGAAAACCCTCAAAACTGCATAGCAACACCCTAGCAACCACCCAGAATAGCCTCAAAACTGCATAGCAACACTCTAGCAACCACCTCTGTTTTTTTTAACTCTCTCTGTTTTTTTCTCAGTATAAACTATTTCACACTTCAAACTTTTACAGTTACTTGAAACTTTCTGCCAACTTCAAACTAAGTTTGTTAAATATATTATATTTATCATAATGTTTCTGTATTTGCTTTGATTTTTTTTTTACATTTTGCTTTGATACCTTAAACATGATTTTTTTAATCATCATGTTTTCACTAAATGAATGCACCAATATGGCGATACATATTCATATTATTATGATTGTTATCGAATAAACATCATTATGTTGCAATAGGTGATGTATTTTTTCATCACCTAACCTAACTGTATTTTACATAATCACCTAACTCTACTTTAATTTATCACCTAACTCTATTTATCACCCAACTTTATTTTACTGGACACGTTTAAAGAATGTCCAGTAATCAGTGAGTGTGGATGGTGTTTCAGGAAACAGCGTGAGCAGGAGGAGCTGGAGAAGGAGAGAAAGAGGGAGGAGAAACTGCGTAAACGAGAGCAGAAGATCAAGGAGAAAGAGGAGAAGAAGAACCAGAAGAAGATGAAGAAGCAGCAGGAGGAAGAACAGAAGAAGCTCCACCAGAAGATCGTGATGGAGGAGAGGAAACTCTTGCTGGCTCAGAGGAACCTGGAGTCCATCCGGCTCATCGCGGAGTTACTGAGCCGAGCAAAGGTGCGTCACATGACCTCGGACAACACCCCTTTCATTGGCTACCCGCCAAAATAAAAGTTCGGTTTAACTTGAAGAAATTATGAAAAATTATTGGATAAATTATGAAATTATCAAAAATCATAACTAATTGTAATATATATATATATATATATATATAAATATTAACCATTAAAACAGCGTCCAAATAAATTTGAATGGAAAAAACAGAATTTTAGAGATTTTCATAGGGCCTTAAATTTTTGTATTGTTTTTTTTGTTAAACTTTTAATAATTGTGGTTGAAGTTTAAAAGTTTCATGATTTAAATTAATTAGACATTCTTTTATGATGATGACAATTTTATTTAACCATTAAAACCGAGTCCAGAAAAACATAAATGAGGCCATTTTTTAAATAATTTAAATAATGATTTAAATTATTAAGACACTGTTTTATGATGACAACATTTTTATTTAACAATTAAAACAGAGTCCAGAAAAATTTAAATAGAAAAAAACAGAATTAGGAACAAAATTAAAGTTTGTTTTAGTTTAATTTACACAATGATTTTGTGAAAAAAAAAAAAAAAATAAACGGATTTCATAGCGCCTTAAAATGTCATTTTTAAAGATTTTTGTTAAATTGTATAAGTGTCATGATTTCAGTTTAGTCATGCTTTTTGATTACTAAAATTTTAATTAATCATTAAAAAAATAAAATGGAAATTGGACCGAAATAAAACAGATATCAAAAGGCCCTAAAATATTATCGTTCTCAAACGCCTGCTGTTAAATTGTATAAGTTTCATGATTTTAATTAAATAGATGTTCAAATTTAATTTAACCATTAAAACAGATTCCATAAAAATTAAAAAGGAAACATGGAATTTGGAACAATATAAATCATATTTCGTGTGTGTGTGTGTGTGTGTGTTCTTAGAGCCTGAAGCAGCAGCAGCAGGAGCAGCAGAAGGCGGAGCAGGAGCATCTCCGTCAGCTGGAGGAGAGCAGACGCCAGCAGGAGGAGGAGCTGAGGCGCGTCGAGGCCGAGAAGAAGCGAACGCTCGAGCTCCAGAGGAAAGAGCGTGAGCTGCGGGACCGGCTGCTGGGAAACCTGCTGAAGAAGAGCACCAACACCGACGAGATCGAGAGCGCTCCCGTCATCGGCTTGGACCTGCAGATCTGCCACGCGCAGGTCAACGGCGGCGAGATCGACCCGGACAACCAGGACAGCAAACCAAAGAAACCGGAGAGTGTGGAGGAGCGAGCAGACGGAGAGAGACGCGAGCGAAGGAATCATACGCGACGTCACGAGAGGCGGAGTCAGAGTCGTGGGAGGCGGAGTCACAGCAGCGGGAAGCGGAGTAAGAGTCGCGGGAGGCGGAGTCACAGCAACAGGAGGCGGAGTCATAGCACCGGTACGCGGAGCCACAGCAACGGGAGGCGGAGTCCGAGTCACGAGGGGCGGAGTCACAGTCACGGGAGGCGGAGTCACAGTCGTAACGGGCGGAGGAGCCGAACAACGAGACACCGGCGCCACCGGGCGAGGAAGGACAGTCACGGGCCGAGCAGCAGCAAGAGTCGCAGCAGCAACAGCAGGAGTCGCTCGTCCAGTCGAGGACGCCGCCGACACTCGCGTCACCGATCCCGACGACACTGAGAGGAGGATGAAGCTGCCGTGTGAGGTGAAGCACGTCCTGGTCACATTCAGCACAATACAAGGTAGGGATGGGCAACGATTAATCGCATCCAAAATAAAAGTTTGTGTTTACATAATATATGTGTGTGTGGTGTGTATAATTAATTTGTATATATAAATACACACACATGCATGTATATATTTAAGAAATGTGTGCATGTATATATTTTATATATATTTATTCACAATTAATATTATATATAAATATAAATATTTGATATATTAATAACTCATTTTTCTTAAATATATGCATGCATGTGTGGGTATTTATACAAATTATTTATACACACCACACACACATATATTATTTTTAACACACATATACTTTTATTTTGGATGCGATTAATCGCTGCCCATCCCTAAGTAAAATGAGGCCTGCTTTTTAGGATCAGTAAGATTTAATTAACATTTTTCTCAACAAATTACATTTTGTTTTAGGATAATTAAGATTTTATTTTTTCATTTTCTTCCCTTAGCAAATTATATATTTTTCATAATGAAAACTAGGCCTGTTTTAGGATTGTATTTTTATTTTTTTTCTCCATAAAAGACATGAAGCCTGTTTAGGATAATTGAGGTTTTATTTAATTTTTCATTATTTTCCCCTAGCGAATTATATTTTTCATAATGAAAATTATGCCTGTTTTTTTTCTTCATAAGAGACATTCACAAGCCCATTTAGAATCATTAAGATTTCATTTTAGTTATTTTTCCCCAAACAAGTTATATTTTCTGAATGAAAAGTATGCCCTTTTTTAGGATTGTAGTTTCTTTTCTCATAAAAATCACGAAAGCCTGTTTTCAGGCTTAAAAATAATAGTTCACAGCAAATTATATTTTTCATAAAGAAAATACATTTTTGCATCAATATTGGATATCATTACTTCATATTAATTTTTATTTCAAAATAATGCCACCATGCAAAACAATCCCTAAATTTTGTCTCTTATTAAAGGCCTCATTTCCTTTAAACCGAACTTGAATTTCTTCCTTTTTTTTAAAGGTTTTTGTGACCTGGACGTGTTCTTGACCAAGATTCACTGCTTGAATTAAACGCTACAGTATCTTGAACTTATCTGGCTGTATTTTTCCTATTAGTATCACATTTTCTTTTTTAAGTTTGCCTTACAAAGACTGAAGCTTTGATTGGTGATTTTCTGTGAGAGTGTTTCGTTCAGCGTTATTAAACTCCATAGACTACAATCCTTGGTTTATGACTTGAATTTGACTTTTTTGAAAGTGTTTAATCTGTTCATTTCAAGCATCTCAATGCAGTTTTGTGTAGGACTCTCAATCTTATGTAGAAGTTGGATTTATAGTGTTTTTTTTTAATGGGGGATCCAGCTTTGTTTTCCTCGGCACAAGCACAGGACTTTATTTAAGCTGGAAACGCACATGTAAAGTCGTTACGAAGACTGTTTTATGGCAGAAGCGCCACTGAAGGACATGTTTGTCACTCGTTTTAACTCGAGTTACCTTCCGGCAGGTCTCAATAAAGCAGTGCTTTGGATTTTAGCGAGTATCTTGATTCATTTTGCATCAACATCAGCGCATGCAAAACTGGCTGTCAATAAAACTTGGCTGCTTATGCAGTGGAAATGTGAAAACTTTTTTGAAATCGCTGGTATCTTATTAGATTAGAGAAAACAGAGAGGCTGTCTTATATCAAACAGGTATTATAACTTCAACACCCATAATGCACTGGGCTTGCCGTCCAAGGCCACTCCCACCAGTCTGCTATGGATATGCTTAAAGTCCCCATGAAATCAAATCGAGTTGTTTTTTTGGCTTTTTGTATGAGTATGTCAGCCATACTGTTATCTATAAGCTAGTGTGCTCCAATACAATGACACAATTCACATTTAGAAAATAGAAGTGTTCAAAACTATGGGCTAGTTTTTTGTATTTTTGACAATAGAACATTTTACAAAAGGAAATCAATTGTTTACAATGGTGTTTTTGACAGAAGTTTGCATTTAGATACTTTTATTATAATGTCATATTTGCTTGTATTCTGCACAGTTCATATCGATATCACACATCGATATCAAATTGACATTGTAAAACAGAGTTAGTAAAATAAAAGACATTTTGTCAATATAGCACACCCCTACTTTGAAACAATATGTATTGTGAAAAGCGCTATAAAAATAAATTTAAATTTAATTGAATTAACCCTCTGGGCTTCTTCGTAAATGGGTTACACTTAGCTTCCTCCCGGTCAAAAACGGACGAAGCCTTAAAATTTTACTTTACTTCTTCCCAGGATAACCATTCAAATATATTTTTGTTCTATAATATTTTCTGATTATTATTTAGAATTTTTAGAATTTTTTATGATACTTTGCATTAATTATATAATTTTTATGAGGTATTTTTTCCATTAGAATTAATATACATATTTTTATTTATTTATTTATTTATTTTTAAATTCGTATTTCGTATTCGTAAAATCCTGTTTTTTCGTATTTCCCATTCATTTCCTATGTCGGTCATTTTTGACCGGGAGGAAGCTAAGTGTGACTTTTTTTTTTACAACCCTTTAACAAATCAGAATCATCTCCTTGATTTTTGTGTGTGTTCATATAGGTAATACAACAAAAGTCACCAAGTTTCAGCCCGATCCGATCAAGCAAAAAAATTAAACATTTCAAAACGTAACAGTTTTCGGTCATTTTTGACCGAAGAAGCCCAGAGGGTTAATGAGAAAGTGAGAAAATATATTGCTGTTTGTTCTCAAATTATGTTCTAAGGTGGAAATAAGCCACATGAAAATAAGCATATGCCAGCATGATGGTGATGATGAAGATGATGATGATGAAGAACACTCTCTATTGATGGCAGGAACAGGCAGACGAGCTGGAAAACATGAGAGAAAAAGATGAATAAGAACAAATCTAATCATCAATCTTATTATGGTTCAATCACTGTTTATATGATCTAGCATCATAAAACTATAAAATAATTCAACAATTATTAAATATGTAAATAATTGGTAAAAAAAAAAAAAAAGATCTCTACTCACCAGGGACGGAAACTCTGAAAGCTTTTCTTGAGAACCATTTTGAAGTCCAATCCTCCTTCCTATTGATCAGTTTATAATCTCCAGCTTGTTCAGTTGTGATGTTTGTGATGGTCAGAGATCCAGTTTGATTGTTCAGCTTCAGTCTGTCTCTGAATCTCCCGAGATAATCATCATATACAGCGATTCTGTCACCATCAATTTCAGCGATTAAAATGTTTTCATCCCCAAACATCCACCGAATCCATTCATAACCCTTTATTTCAGTGAGATCAGAGTTTATAGTGAGTGATTCTCCCTCCATCACTGATATTTCAACTGGATCAACAAACAGAAACAGAGTTAGATTTCAAATGAACAATATCATAAAACAAAATGGTGTTTAGTTAAAGGGGTGGTAAAACACGATTTCACTTTTCTAACTTTAGTTAGTGTGTAAAGTTGCTGTTGGAGCATAAACATCTGCAAAGAAGTTCAAAGCAAAGGAAGATATTTGCTTTTAAAGAAAAGGACTGCGACAAACGGCTGGTAGGCTATGGACTACACCACATTTCTCCCAAGTTAGTTTTTAAATAACCATAACTTGCTCAATTTTCTACTGATTTTTAAATGGTTTGGTTTGTTATGAACATCAGAGATGTAGTTATGACACCACAGACTTATGAAAAATAAATTTATAAGGTTATAAGTATGATGTTTATAAGTTACCTCAGTTTATTAGCTTGAATTAAGGGGTTAATTAAGAGATAAAATGTGAATTAACCATTCATCTTTGTTTAGAGAGTAATCCGTATTTGTTCCTTTAACCCTTGTGCATCAATTAAAAAAAGTTACGCATAGGTAAAAAGAGGACAAAAATGTCCATGTCAAAAAACTGTCATAAAATGTGACGCTTTGGAGCACAGCCTTAAGTTTGGTATCATTTTAAAGAAGACCCTTTGCAGATTATTGCTGAAGTAAAAAAATAAGTTTATGAAAATTATTTATAAAAAATATTTTATATAAAATATATATTTTATAAATCAGTTTGAACTCAAAACTGCAATAAAATCAAAGCCATAAATCTAAATAGGTTGTGTTCCAAATTTGAGGACGATATCTCAAAAAATGAGCTTTCAGTAACAGTTTGTTTGGGCGTAGTAACATCATTTCCCCATTGGGTGCCAGCAAAACCCCACTGGAGCTCACAGTGATTGGATTTGAATTTGCAGTTTTTCTCTCTCAGTATTACAAACACACACAGGCGCAATAAAGCGATATTTGTTTTATAGGCCAAACTTTAAAAAAAATGACACCATCTGATAAAAAATAGTACAAAATAAAATTTTGAAGCCTTGCCATCAGAATGAAAGCCTCTTAACAAAGATTGCATAATTTTATAGTTAACTGAACCGGGGATTAAAAATGGCAGTTTTAATGGGTTTCAATGGGGACATTTTTGTCCAAAAGGCACTGATGGAGTATTTTTTGTACCTAATGCAAAAAATATTTTTTTAAGAAAATGACGGTGAAATAGTAAAATTCCAATAAAAATACACACCAGTGCCAAGTTTTTTGCAGTTGGCTTTAACACAGGCAAAGGGATCAAAAAACAAAACTGAAAAAGACAAAAATGTCCATAAATTAAGAGCGTGCACAGGATAAACAAGCTTGATAGATGTGTACATGTGGAAAACGTGGCTTTAACCATCAATTTTATTTCATTATTTTTATTTTAAAATAATTTTTTATAGGTATTTTATTAGTTCATTGGTTTATGTGAATTAAGTCCCACCCTCACCGGTGTTTGTGTTTATGTAACGTGACGCCGCCTTCACACTGGCAGTTGAAATCAGCTCCGATGCGGCTGCGAAACGACCGGAAGTCATTCATTTCCTATGGAGATTCGCAGACCGCATGCGAATGGGTCCGAAACGGGTCCGACCGAGTGCGGTGCGAAGAAAATCGTGTCCGTTGGTCATCCGGATGCGTTCAAAAATGTGAACTCTTGCGAAAAGCTACGGACGGTTCCTATCCGACAATTCCAGCGGAAGTTGACCGTTGCTATGGTACTGATAAACAAAATTATTAACTTTTAATAAAATAAATATTGATTTTATAACGATAAGTTGTGATGTCATTTTTATTTTCATGACTTTCTAACGTTTATAAGGGCAGTTAATACAATTAAATTGAAGGTAGACATTGAACTATTGACCACTATATCACATTTTTTAGCCGACCTGACATGTCAACGTCCTGAGCAACTTTCCTCACGCAGCATAACCCTAATCAGAGAGATCATACAGAACTGACAGAATCAAACTTTAATCTCTCCGCCATTTTTGTTCTACCCGCGTCCGACGCTTTTCACTGTGTAGTAGTACGACGTCCGTTGGGAACGTATTGCGTATTACGGAGCTGATTTCAACTGCCAGTGTGAAGGCAGCGTGAGTGGTTGTTCGGGAGATGAGAGTTTTTGTTGACGAGCGCAGGATGAATATGAGAGACGCTTGGAGTAAGAGAGTGAGTTGACGATTTACAAGTTTTAAAAAAAATCTTTAACTGTAGATCGGGTGTGTAGCACGAACACAGGGAGTAATAATTTGGGTTTACTTTGAGATCTCCGCAAGTGTTTACGCTACGGCCTTCCAGTGTTGCGGTTCAGAGTCCCGCCCCTCCGCTTCCGGCTCACGGGACCTTATTTCGGAAAAAAATATGAATGGTAGTCAATGGCGAGAGACAACTTATCTTTTTATTCCGTCTGAACTGTGTGCTCAATTACACATATGATGTTTGTCAATTTAAAATATAATTCTGAAAGTCAAAAACGTTGCAGTTTGTCATACAACGGAAGAGTAACATTTAGTTTTATATGAAAATCGCTCTATGAACATCTCCTGGGAAGCGAAACGAGATCTGCTCGTGTGTGTGCAGTCTGGTACAAAACACCCAGGCATGACGGCGTAACGTTACGATTATAACGTAAGACACAATGACCGTTAGCCTCAGTAAAGTTAGCTTCATTCATTGAGAGAAAATGTGCGCCTGGGGTTTGTAGTCTTTGTAATTACGTATTTTCACTGTCTTACGGTTTTACATCAAACTGCGACTTTCTTTACTTTAAAATGTATAGCCTATCTTTTAAATTGACAAACATCATATAACTCAGAGCACAGTTCAAACGAGATCAAAATATTTGTTGTCGCTTGCCAGTCTACCATTCAATATTTTTCCGAAGTAGGCCTAATGCTGCGTTCAAGTCATCTCGTATAGATCGTAATTACGAGTTGAACCGACGCCACCACAATGTTGTAAATACCAGTGAGGAGCTCGGGATTTTCTTTAAGCTCCGATCTGTACGAGTTGGGGGCGTGTCAGTGAGAAACGTTCTTTCAACGTCTGTTGACGGTAAATTTTAATTGAATTTCAATGTTTACATTTCTGACATTGTAAGGCTTTTTCATTTATAAAGCAAGCTCTCTGCACAAAATATGATATCATTGTAATATACATAGAGTTTACATTGGCTTCATTAACTAATAAAAAACATAAAAAGAAAAACACACCTGACGCGCATTCTTTGTTCTTCGTTTTTTTATTAGCAGAGTTAACAAACCTTGCTGTATTTTCCTGTAATTAATTAAAAGTAGGTACACTGCCATTTTGCTCTGACGAAACTGACTTGAACGCACCTCACGTCGTAAACACGACTTCTCACCTCGTACAAACTGCAAAGGAGGACTTGAACGCAGCATAACGTCCCATGGTGGTCGACCGGAAGGGGAGGGACTTGAGGCTGTTTAATTGTCAACGCTTATCTGCGCGTATGACTCTAACGTTAAGTTTAAAGCATCCGTTTAGCAAAAAGAGTAAAGACTGTTAACGCAGTGGTTTTTCATTCACCACGAGGGAGACCTTGAGGACCAGATAGCACCCCAAATACCCGCGTTATTTGGGGTTCCTCTGGCGACGTGGGCGGTGCGTGTCGTCGGTTGACGAGGGCGAGCGAGAGCGAGGCCTGCTACAGGATTCCGGAATTGCTGTATTGGTACACGTGAAATTGAGGTATGATTTGTTTCGTGCAGTGAAGGGGCCATTTTTCAATTTCCCGGCCACCACAAACACGAGCTACGATTCAAGCTTGCAATGGGTGGTTTGTGTGAATGACTGGTGTGTGTTTGGGCCCACCGCATTAAATATTGGTTAACATAGGATTGCTCAGTGCACTGAAATATGTATGTGAATATTCAGGTTATATAATTTTACCATCTGTGGGAGTTATTGTATTCATTCATCCATTTGAGGTGATTTGTTCAATCTGACCTGGAGACTATTTTCAGTAGGTCTGGCAACTGAGATATTGTTTTTTCGGGGGTTATTTTGTGTCAGATTTAATGACAAGGTGATTGTGTGAATACTTTACATTTACTTTATCAGTAATTACTTGTTTGAGCTAGTTAACATACTATAACTCTTTACCAATTAAATCTTATGTTTTGTACTTTTACCATTGTTTTTTTTTCTTTCTAAAGTGTTTGTTGACTTGAATAGTTAAGGTGCTTATTGATTTAATTATTCGTAACTTTCCAAAAAAAAAAAAAGTTTACATTGTGACTCCAGAGGGGCCTAACTTCAACATCTGTATGCATTTAGTTCATGAATTTGTGGCGTGCCCTATTTACTTCACCAGACGATAGATAGGGGGCGTTACACAATAAATAATCATCCAGAATTATAGCCACGTTAATAACGTTTGACGAAACATATACGGGTGGGCAGGGGTTGGTGGCAATGTAAGTATCTGTATATTTTCCGTGGGCGAGGGCATTCGATTACCTCTCTCTTTTTTGACCGTACATGTGTTTGCATCGCAGCATTTAACCCCCCCTCCCCCCCTCCCCATCACATTTTTGGTCGGTCATCCCTACTTCTTTGTATACATTTTTTTTTTCATTTACATCAGGCTCATATAAATTGTCTCTGGTAGCCCTAAGCTACCAGACATAGTCTTTCAAAACATGACCTGCGCGAAAGAGAAAAAAAAAATTAATGTGTCATTGTACCCGGCACTTTTTAAAATGCATTTCCGAATTCGTCTCTGTCCCCATCACATTTCAAACCAAACCATGACTAATCATGTCACTTATTTAAATGAATTAGCTGAATGTCAAACCAACCCAAAAGTGCTGTGTGTGTGAAAGGGGAGAGTGCAGGTGCATTTCTAATTTTCTCCATAATCAGTAATACGCGGATGATGAATGCTGGTGTCTTTTCCATTTTTCCTGTAGCTGATTTAACGACGGCATTGCTTGACTTGAAGTCTTTATCACTTAGGCCAACAATGTAGGCTCTATTACTTTGTATCTTACGTTATGGCCCCGTGGAAGCAGTTTTTGTAAAAGTAGGCTAACGATTGCGTCATAAAACGCGACTCTCTGTCGCCCAGTAGAGAAATTACCGTATAGACAGAAGTAGAAGCTCGCAGGCAATCAGGGGACGTGGAGACAGCCTCACGTCACATCTAGGTCGTCAACCTCATGGTCAGCGCAGTGCCCTATAGAAGTGCTTCTAATTGACTTCACTTTTCTGAGTTACGGCCAAGGTGGCGTACTAGAGAGAGAGCTGCCTCGTTTTATCACTAGCAAAATCTCAAAGTTTTATTTTTTAGACTTTTCCCAAACGTTTCTTTTATCATCTAAAGATGACAAGTAGAGAACGTAACTCTGAAGAGAAGACCGTGAGCAGTAACAGAAATGATCATGATTATATTGACGCGATGGAGGTTTCTGCTGAAACTAACAAACGTGTCTTGGAGGAGAATTGACCTGTTACTCCCAGCAAAGTTCACACTAGCCCCTTTTCCACCAAAGCATTATGAGAGCCGGTTCGGAGCCGGTGATTGCGCGCGAACCAGTTAGCCAAAGAACCGGTTCGCGGCTGGGAAAACTGGTTCCAAAGTGGCACCAACTCTTTGCTGGACTAGAACTGTTCTTTTAGCACGTCATGTTTACGGCGAGGGCTGGGGCGGGTTTAGATGTGCTCTAAACATATTTTCTGACCATCGCAAAGCCAGGAGAAACTGCAGAAACACGCAAGCGTTTTTATTTATTTATTTTTTTTATTTGAAATATAAGCAAAGAAGAAAACAGTCACGATATAGAACAAATAAATGGAAGGAAAAAAGACACAAGACACAGGGGTAGATAACTTATCAGAAAAGATTACATATCAAACGAAATCATATTTCAATTGTTTTTAAAGTTTTCTTGGAGTTAGAGATAATCCCAAAGCAATGTACTTGCAAGAGTTTCTAGCGACGGACACAGTGACGTAACGACGTCGTTCCCTGGGCGCTCGTCAGTGGAAAGACAAACAGGTTCTGAACGGGTTCGCAAGTTGAACCAACTCCGAACCAACTTTGAACCAGCACCAGTTCCGAACCAGTTCTTTTTTCGGTGGAAAAGGGGTAAAAATGAAGAAAGTGCGGCCTGATCAGGTGGACGATATCATAATGCGGATACTTGAGGCAATTCACTCCCTCGGCAGAAGATTTGACAAGCAAGATATCCAAAAAAAGGAAGAGAATTGTAATGCTATTTCTGAGTTTAAGGAAGAGATGAAACTTCACAAGCAGAAGGAAGCTATATCGGAGCTTTCTGATCTTGAAAAAGAAAATAAAGAGCTGAAGTAAAGGCCAAGCGTGGGAGACCTGGATCGCTACAAACGGCGTTGGAATTTACACAAAGTCTTGTTCGAGAAACAGAATGAGAACATCCGACGGGGAGTGATAATCCTGCTGGCCAAGACTTTACAAATCACTGAAAACATAGTTATGGATGTCATTTTGCATTTGTGTTAATCGATGCTCAAATTTTTTACACATTGCACCTTTCGAGCGGGCCTCGAACCCGGGTCTCCTGTACGTCTAGCATACATATACAATCTTTTTTAGATGCAAACTATGTTGTTATAAACGTTAAATACGTTAAAGTGCACAGAAACCGCACAAACTTCAGGTATCCATGTGGGATTTCCAAATGTCTTTGTAGGGTTTCAACAGGTATCTTCAAATTAAATTACGAAAGTGCACGACCTGTAAAGTATCTGGCAGATGAGAAGGAAATTGTTGGCGCCTGTTCAAAATGTGTTTTCTTTATCTCAGCTATTATCCAGAGCAAGAGCTTAAAATTGCACATTCCTTTCCATGTGTGTAAGTTAAACATATGTTTCATGTTAAGAATGACCCTTAGACTCTTGAGAGAGAGGGAGAGAGGAATTGCTACAATGTATATCTGATATGAGATCATGTAATTTATGATCTTACTGGTTAAATAACCAGTTGAGAAACTCCCTGTACAGTGTGAATAAGCCACCAAGTGTGTGCAATGATAATCAAATGAAAACAGAGCCACACAACTATTCAGGTTTGTGTACAGTGCGATCCCTATCAGTTATGCAATGTAATTTTTATAAACACTGCATATAAAAAACACACATCTGTATTAAAGAAAAAATGTTTGATAAACACGTATTTAGAATGGAATTAAATAAGTACGTTGGGTGTCTTATATCATTATATTTGTTTGCATAACTTAAAGGGTTGGTTCACCCAAAAATGAAAATTAAGTAATTAATTACTCACCCCCATGCTGTACCAACCCCGTAAGACCTTCGTTCGTCTTCGGAGCACAAATGAAGATATTTTTGATTAAATTTGAGAGCCGAATCACTACCACATATAGGCTGCCTAAGGGACTGGCTCTTGACGGCCCAGAAAGTCAATGAAGAAAATGTTTAAATATTCCATGTGACTACAGTGGCTCAACTATAAGTTTATCAAGCGACGAGAATACTTTTTGTGCGAAAAAACAAACAAAAATAACGACTTTATTCGACTATTCCTTTTCTTCCTTGTTGGCCTGAAACGAGACTTCAATACGATTTCCACGACGCATGCGCGAGAATAGTGATCTCCTTCAACTACAAAACTTCAAGCGCATAAGTCGTGAAATCTCTTGAAGTCTCTTTTCAGGCCAACAAGGAAGAAAAGGAATAGCCTAGTCGAATAAAGTCGTTATTTTTGTTCGTTTTTTCGCACAAAAAGTATTCTCATCGCTTGATAACATATAGTTGAGCCACTGTAGTCACATGGAATATTTAAACATTTTCTTCATTGACTTTCTGGGCCGTCAAGAGCCAGTACCTTAGGAGCCTATGTGGTAGTGATTCGGCTCTCAAATTTAATAAAAAATATCTTCATTTGTGCTCCGAAGACCTGTTAACATGGGTACGGAAAAAAATACGGACCGCATACGCACTGCAAACGGAGTATGTGTGAAACGGGCGTAAAACGGGCGGTATGGGGTTGGTACAGCATCTGGTGAGTAATTAATGACTTAATTTTCATTTTTGGGTGAACTAACCCTTTAAAATACACCCAGTTTATTAGCAACACTGTGCACGAGCGTGAATCCCGATCCATCTGGCAGCAGTTGAGCGCCTAGCGTTGTAGCGATGCTACAGCGTCATATTTAATTACATTAAATGACAAAAAAATAAAAAAATAAATAAATCTACACAACTTCATAATATTTATTAAAATTCGTACAAACGAAAACCTAAGTATAGTAACGAAAAAAGGTGGGGTTTGGTGATTGGGAGGAAAAGAAAAGAGGAAGTAGAGAAACGGAAGGAGAAAGGCCGGTTGGGAAGTTGGGATTAGCGTCTGAGAAAGTTGAAGGAAATCGAGGCCGTTGTTTCAGCGTGTCGTGAAGATTCCCTGTTGGATTTTCGTTCATGTGGGTGATCCGAATTCTTGCACTGCAAAGACGGGAAGGGACGCGCTTGTACGGAATAGACGGGGATATTCGCGAGCTGAAACCTGAACGTCGCCCGAAAGAAAACAAAGCCAAAGAGGATTCTGACAGTGACGTTGAAGACCTGTGAGTGTTGTTCTTTCACTTCGACGACCTGAGACACCTAGCCCTAGAGGTAAAGAAACATTTGCTTTCCCGTGCCTTCTCGGTGAGGCTTCTGGTCTCCATAAACTTACAATTACCAAACTCCCACACTTTCATCAGAAGAACAATTACTAACACTCCTTACCGACTTCCATTAACGGTGGTTGAACAAATTTCGTTTTCATTAGATGTTTATTATTTTTTTTTAACTGTTTGGGATTACTTTTGTTGTAGTTTTGACTCATTGTGAACTTTCTAAGTCTGAGCGCAACCGCGCCGGTAAATCAGAGTAACGAACTGATTCATTATTTGTTTTTTGTTTTTTGTTGTTGCTTTTTGAGAATTTACTGCTGGACACTGTATGATTTAAATATTTTTTTGTGTTGGTGAAAATTGTACGAATGGACTTCATGATCTTGACTCTTGAGATGGATTTTCTGTGTTTCCCGTGATCGGAAAATAAATGTTTTGTCAGTTTATTTAAACTGTCTGGCGCCCAATATGAACATTTAAAAGTTTAATAAAACCACGTAACTACAGCGTTCACACAAAAACATTTGAACAGTAGCAGAGGGGAATGGAAAAACTCGTTTTTTGTGTACAGCCCTTAATGCCAAAGAATGCTTTAAGACATCTATTCAGTTTTTTCTCATGCATAAAATGAGTTATTTGAGTGTCAAATCCGTTTTGAGATGCTGGACCTCAACCAGTGTCATGTCACTCACTCCATGCGAGATCGACTTTTGCCTTATTATATGCCTATATTCATTTATTTTGAAGTCATACAACTATATTCAACAACATACAAAAATTAATATTTAGAGTCCTTTTATAGCCTAAAGGTAGAAGAATGTTAGTCCTCTAACCAGTCATTTATTACACGGAAGAAGAGAAACAACTGAAGCCTTAAAATATTTAAAACTCACCACCATCCAGATGCCAGAAACACAGACAGAAGAAAACAGTGCGAAACATCTTCAACACTTTCAGTCCACAAATATGAAAAGACAAACTCTTCCAAACGGCTTCAGGAATAAAATGACAGATGAGCTGATGTGAAGCTGCTCTGTGTCTATTCTTATGTCTACAGAGTGAGTAAAACCAGAGCTTATCTACGGAGAGCCTGGCCACTCCCATAGAGAGAAAGAGCTGCGCCCCAATATTATGAAGCTGCAGACTCGGAGCCTGCATCTACAGTCCCCCACCGAGAGTCCCGCATTCTCAGACCCCTCGTTTTTCGAACACAGCGCCTCCTGCTGTTCAAAAGATCGAATAACACCCGCACAACTACAGTGCACGATTATCCAAATGCAATTAAAAACAATAGGATGCAATATTACGGTCTCCAAATAAATTATCCAATATATATTTGCGTTCCCTGCTTAATGCATGTGCCAAAAAAACTAATTGTTACTGATGGAAGGGATACAATTACAGGTTGAAATATCTTCAGAAAAATAGTAGGCTATATTATATTGCTACAATGTTTTTTTTTTTTAATATTTTTTTAATTCAAATTCCATTTTTTCTTTGAGTTCAACCTATAATGGTCTAATTAACATTACCATGCTAACATTACAATATCTATTTTTTGATATTTTCAATGCGAAGCAAAACAAATCAGAATAGACAAAACACCAATAATAAACAATTCTGTACTTTATTTAATGATCACCTAAACATCATCTTGCTGTAAAGAAAAAAGGAAGAAAAAAAATGTGTTCTTGACTTTACTTTTCGTCTTCAATTGCATTAAAAAAACTAATTTATAAGTCACTTTGCATCATAAAATGATATGTTGCTGGATTCGGCAGGGGCAACTCCATCGCTGTATGGTGTGGAATAGCCTAGGACCGATAGCACATGTCTTATGATGTTTAAAAAAGAAAAAGATGTTTGCAAATGTTTCCTTCATGTTGCACTGCTCTGTTGAAGTGTCCCTTGAGATGTTTATGAACTTTGGACAACTTTGTGGGTTTGAAATATATGGGGGCACAAAATGGGCAGTGAAAATAACTGCAGCATTAATGACATTTCTACAAAAAGTCCAAGGTTAAAGGCTAACGTAAACGTAAATCCCCATTATCTCTAGTCTTGGCTACTGTATATACACCTCCAGGGCCCTATGCTGATCTCCTAAAAGAGTTTGCGGACTTTCTCTCAGATCTATCGATATCTAAGTCCACTAAAGGAGGGAGGCCGTTTATTTAGCTCCTAAACTCTGGAATAGCCTTCCTGATGGACTCGCTGTCCCAGTTTAAAACTAGATTAAAGACGCATCTCTTTATTTAAGCGTTCACATAATGCTTACCTTTTATACCACTGTTGAATCAGATCAAATGCATTAATATAATCAACAGCAGCTATGCTAATTATTTCCCATCTGCTTTTATCTCGGGAAGCTAGTCGAGGTAACTAGCGTTCGTCAGTTCCAGTTTGTATCCAGCCTCTCACGAAGACTTCAGATGCTCCAAAACCTGTGAAGAGACGACTAAACGCCGGCGATATGTTATGCCCTTAATACATGATTAACTGTATTTTTTCAAGCCTATGTAGGAAATGCACATTTCTAAAATGCACTTCCTGTAAAGCTGCTTTGAAATAGGATTGTGCGATGTAGGTATACCGACTTTGCGATATCATAATTGTTGTTTAAACGATTTGCGAAATCATATTATTGAAAATGTCACTCATTTTCAGAAATTAATCAAAACGCTGCATCAGTTGTCCACAGATTGACCGCGCGCAAGGGTGCAAACGTGACACGTGCATTCTGGGGTGCGTTTCCCGAAAGCATCGTTAGCCAACTATGGTCGCAAGTTCCGTCGTTATCAGCATAGTCCAACGAGTCGGTGTTTCCCGAAACCATCGTTCCAACGAACATTCGGAAACAGCATCGCAAAGTTGTGTGGTTTGAACGACAGCTCTCGACCTGTGGTTATAGGCATCGTTTCTATATTTTATTGACATTTGGAAGTAATAAATCCCTATCTTGAGCAAAATAAGCAAGCTGACATTCAGTTCAACCGGTGCCTTTTATTCAGCATACATACAAATGTAATTTACGTCTTTTAGTTTTTCAAAAGATTTGAAGTAACGTGCTTGAAGAGTGCGCATGTGCGAACGTGCTCTACAATGTAAGAACGAGCCAAATATTGAGTCTGGTGATAAAGCAAAACAACTGAGAACAATTAGAAATAGTCCTCAGATGACATGTCTGTAATTTTATAAAACAAATCTAGCGTTAATTGGATCTCAAACAGTTTCATTAAAAGTACTTATTACTCCACCATGTGCGAACCCAGACAGCAAACTGACATTGAATCAACGTGGAAACGACGTCTCTCATGACATTGAAACAACGTTGATTTTGCTCATCGAATTAACGTTGAACCAACGTCAGACGCGGCATTCTTCAAAGCTAAATGAAAATCGAAAATTGGTTTGCTTTCATAACGTTTTTCAACGCGTTGATTTCAAGTTGATTTTCCGTTAGTTTTGAAAGAATGACGCGTCTGACGTTGGTTCAACGTTAATTCGATGAGCAAAACAATGTCATATCAACGTTGTTTCGATGTCATGTTTCTACGTTGATTCAATGTCAGTTTGCTATCTGGGAAACCAACGTGGTTGAACGATAGTTTACGACAGTGGGTTTCGGGAAACAGTCGTGACTAGCTAGTTGATTTTAACAACGATGCATCGTACTATGGTAGTGAAACAATGAACTACGTCGTTGTACGGGAAACGCACCCCAGAGCGTCGGTGTCTGACAGAAATTAAAATGAGCAAAGAAACGGTGAGAGAAGAAGATATTCAAACACCAGCCAACTCACAATCCACGCTAGATTTAAATACGTGGGTCGTCATCACTAGCATGGAGGTGGTTTGGTTTTGAAAGGTCGGAGATGTTAGTCAAAAGACGCTGATGATGTGTCGAGCAGCTTGACGACCATCAATCTCTTCATCTTCGAACTACCCACCGCACATAATATGAGGATTATGAAAAGCTTCGCGAGTCAGCCGAACACAACGGGGTAAGATAAAAATAAAAACAAAAACACACGCAACAAACTTTGGCCGATTTACCTAGAAAGTTCCTTAGGACAGAAAAAGTGACAGATGAAACGCTGTGACCAATTACATTTCCAGAGACATGGTGCCAATTCAAGCGGTTGAGAGAGAGATTTTGGCTTTTAAAGACGTTACATTTTTTACCTGTTAGTCTTTAAATCGTAGACTTTGTCTACAGTAATCATCTGTTTATACAGCTTTTTTAGAGAGTGCAATATTGGACAAATCTGAAGGGTTTCTAATTTTACAGTGTAATATTGGACAGAACTTGAAGTCAGTAATTTAATACTATGGACTAGTTTTTTTGTATTTTTGACTATAGAACATTTTACAGAGGGGAATAATTTGTTTACAATGTTTTTTTTAGTGCTGTTATTGACAGAAGTTTGCATTTAGAGTTTGCAACTGTTGCATTCTGCACAGTTCAGCCTTACAGCAGAGCAGGGATTTGTGTTATTTCTACATGAATGCCTCAGTTTTAAATAATGCTCTAAAATTATTAATTTATCAATATCAAATTGACATTGTAAAACGGAGTTAGTAAAATAAAAGACATTTACAAACACATTTTTGAATAATTCAAATTTTTGTCTGATTATCGTTCTCGGCAAAATCCCCCAAAATATCGATATATAATTGTTTTGTCAATGTCGCACACCCCTACTTTGAAACGATATGTATTGTGGAAAGCGCTATACCAATAAATTTGAATTGAATTAATGAGTAAGTGAGAAAATATATTTCTGTCTGCCTTCTCTCACCTTTGTAATATCACACACTTGCGTCCATTTCTGAAGATCAGCGATGCCGAAACCTTGGTTCATGCTTTCATCACACCACGTCTTGATTACTGCAATTCTCTTTTCTATGGCTTGCCCGACTCTATAAATAAACTCCAATATATTCAGAACTCTGCAGCTAGGGTCCTTACAAAGAAATCTTCCCACATTACTTTGATTTTACGCAAACTTATTTGGCTACCGGTACGTTTTCGCTTTATATTTCCTATTCTAAGCACTCACCCCCCTATATTACTGATCTCATACTCCCTAGTTCGCACACTTAGATCATTTGAGACCGGTCTTTTAACAATTTCACTTTAACTTTTAACTGCCCCAACTCTCTGTAATTCTATTCCCCAACACATCCGCGACTTCTCATCATTACACGATTTTAAAACTCACCTTAAAAGTGATCTTTTCACTACTTGTTTACCTTGATTTCTATGTTTATGTACCACTATTTAATTTTGTTTGTTTGTCATGTTTCTGTCTCAATTTATTTTTTATTGTAACATGTTTCTATGTCTTATTTATTCGTACTTAACTGTAAAGCGACCTTGAGAACTCTGAAAGGCGCTATATAAAATAAACGTATTATTATAATTATCAGTCTCTATTGATGGCAGGAACAGGCAGACGAGCTGGAAAACATGAGAGAAAAAGAAAAAATAAGAACAAATCTAATCAACAATCTTATTTCGGTTCAATCAGTGTGTTCAGTGTTTATCTAGCATCTCAAACTATAAAATAATTCAACAATTAATAAATATGTAAATAACTGGTAAAAAACAAAACAAAAAAACAAGAATATTTCAAGGACAGGAGGTGATCTCTACTCACCAGAGGCGGAAACTCTGAAAGCTTTTGCTGAGAAACTTTGCAAATTCCAATACTCATTCCTAATGATCTGTAGTTTATAATCTCCAGCTTGTTCAGTTGTGATGTTTGTGATGGTCAGAGATCCAGTGTGTTTGTTCAGCTTCAGTCTGTCTCTGAATCTCCCGAGATAATCATCATATACAGTGATTCTGCCAGCATCAATTTCAGCGATTAAAATGTTTTCATCTCCAAACATCCACCGAATCCATTCATAACCCTTTATTTCAGTGATATCAGAGTTTATAGTGAGTGATTCTCCCTCCATCACTGATATTTCAACTGTATATCAACAAACAGAAACAGAGTTAGATTTCAAATTAACAATATCATAAAAAAACAGAAGAGAAGCAAAATCTAACGTATTTAGTTAAAGAGGTGGTAATACAATTTCACTTTTCTAACTTTAAGCGCATAAATTTCTGAGTTACAACGCTCAGTTCAAAGCAAAGGAAGATATTTGCTTTTAAATAAAAGGACTACAACAAACGGCTGGTATGGACTACACAACATTCCTCCAGGTTAGTGACATCAGCAAACCTAAAATGTATATAAACCCGCCTCGGGAACACAGTCCATGTTGAGAAGAGGAAAAGTTGTTGTATAACTGTGCGTTCACACGAGACGCGAATAGCACGTCAAATTCGTGTCTACCGTGTCGTGTTTGACGCTACTTTGTGTTAATTCGCGCTTGAACAGTGAAACTGACGCGCGTTTAAACAAAAATGTTTGATATAGCCATAGATATCCATGACAAAGGCTAGATGTCTCGTCCGCGCTGCTGGCCAATGGTGGTCGACGACCGCACTGGCGGCCATCTTGTCACAGTCAGTTTCCTCACACGTAACATTGTGTTTTAATGGTGCATGTACTTTTTAAATAACCATAACTTGCTCAATTTTCTACCGATTTTCAAACGGTTTGGTTTGTTTTAAACGTCAGAGATGTAGTTATGACACTGCAGACTTATGAAAAATGAGTTTAGCCTATCAATAAATAATCATCCAGAATTACAGCCACGTTAATGATGTTTGTAACAAACCAAACACTCTAGGGACATCAGAGATTTATTTTACATCTTCTGAAAAGGGTATTTTACCACCCCTTTAATATTATTTCGTTTGATTACAACATAAAATGGTAAAACGTCTCGGTTACCTATGTAACCTATGTCGGGGAGTTCCCTAACGAATTGTGATCACGCTAGCGAGCCAACTGCATTCGAGAGAATTAAAAACGAGCCAATAAATTTTTTTTCATTCTGTGAGCCACCTATTAGCGCGAATACAGGCTGATCTCATGAAGTAGCGTGTGTATGACACGCCAATTCGTATTTCCATTTTTGGCGTGCTATCAACACGCATAATCGCTTTTCAGCGTATTTATGAACGCCGTTGACTTAACGTTATTACTGTGTATATATATATAATAAACTGTGTATATATAAATATAAATAGATATATACTTATATACTGTATATATAATATATATAAATATATGACTTACCTCAACCCCGTCCCTAAACCTAACCGTCACTGGGGTTAATGGCATTTATGACTGTTCCCTTACCATCCTAGGAAAAAAAACATAGCCCCCCAGATGTATATCTACATTTTGCTTTGTTTTGGTCGGACATTGGACGGTGTGTACGGACACGCGGAATGACGCGGACGTTAGTGCCGTAGACATACACGCGGATAGCTCAAAATGCGTCGAGATAACACGCCACTTAACTCGAAATTGGCGTGTATGTTTACACAAAAGTCATGATGACATGTTGGCGGATATAAAAAGCGGAAGTAAACAATGCAAATTTATTGGCTCGTTTTTAATTCTCTCGAAGGCAATGGGCTTTATGCACCGCTTCACTACTTCCTGAACTTCAGCCAGCTCCTTGTTTCCTGTCTGCCATTATTGGACAAAATTGATTAATTCAGGAGTGTCTGATTATTGTTGCCGTGACTACTGAGGTCAAGCACACCTGAATTAATCAATGTGTCCAATAATGGCAGACAGGAAACAAGGAGCTGGCTGAAATTCAGGAAGTAGTGAAGCTGTGCATAAAGCCAATTGGCTCCCTAGCGTGATCCCAGTTCATCAGGGAACTCCCCGACGACACGTTGGAGTTCCCAGGACGAAATGGAACAAATATTTAACCTACCAAAGACAGAGAGAAGGACTTTACTGGCCGAACTACACTTAGTTGTATTTTGTCCAGCATATCGTCTATATTCTCCAGCATGTTTAGTTGTGATGTTTCTGATGGTCAGGGATTCAGTGTGTTTGTTCAGCTTCAGTCTTTTTCTGAATCTCCCATCAAGAACATCATCATATACAGCGATTCTGTCGGCCCGTTTATTGATTTCAGCGATTAAAATTTCAGTCTTATGATCATCTCCAAACTTCCACTCGATCACATTATTATCCCCTGTTTCAGTGAGATCAAAGTTTAGAGTGAGTGAATCTCCCTTCATCGCTGACCTCAGAGTCACTGATGCTGAGAAACACACAGACGAAACACAAACAGGGTTTGTCAGATTAATAATGTGAAATCACTTATAATAATGTTTTACTAAATGTCAGTTTGAAATAAACAACATCAAAAAACAAAAAGAATCAAAATGGTGAACAGATTAATTTAAATGTTGTCATTAAAAACAGGTGAAACAAATGTGTTTAGCCTCACCATAGGAATCAATATAGATCGTTCTCTTCTTCACACCGTTGATCTGTAGAGAATAACGTCCAATCTCTGCAGTGATGTTTATGACGGTCAGAGATCCAGTGTGTTTGTTCAGCTTCAGTCTGTCTCTGAATCTCCCATCAAGAACATCATCATATACAGCGATTCTGTCGGCCCGTTTATTGATTTCAGCGATTAAAGTTTCAGTCTCATTATCTTCTCCAAACCTCCACTGAATCACATCATCATCCTTTATTTCAGTGAGATCAGAGTTTAGAGTGAGTGAATCTCCCTCCATCATAACCTTATCTTCACCAAACACACCTGAAGAACAGAGTTTTTCACAGCTTTGAAATCACTCGATGTTGGTTCGATGAAGCTTCACTGAAATACGTTAAATCATTTAAATGTGATGTTAATAATATTCTGCAGCAACACAAAGACAAAAGACGATGAATCAAAAAAGAAATAGATTTAATACGGCACAAAAACTAAATAAAAAGACACTTTTAATTTAATGTTGTAACAAGTACTGAATTTACTGTCATCTTTATTCGATTCCACTGGTTGCATAAGCTTCCTCTGGATTACAAAATAAACTTTATTTTTAATGACGTTCCAGCTGACGAGGGTAAAACATGGTCTTCATTTCACTTAGGATTGTTTTTGTCAACAAGACTGGTTTTGCAGACGTTTAAGAGTAAAGAACGGTGCTGTGCCGTCTATATTGGATCTGACAGGAATGGTGCAACACACGGACTCTGGGTCGAACATGTGGGCGAATCATTCCGCCATGTTACAACATTGGACGTTTTCAGAACAAGTGCATCGACGGGTGAGTCGAAACTCATTATAATGCACAAAACTGTTATCCACTCACAGCAGTGGGCGTTTACTCCCAAGTCTTCAGTAAGAGCATTTTTGAGCTAAGCTCAATTCTAGGGTAGAAAATAGCCTATTACTTATTCATTTTGATGTTTTTGAATGCAAAAATTAAAGCGATAGTTCACTTTTGAAATTAATTTTTGCATCCAAGATGTAAATGTCTTTGTTTCCACAGTAGTTTCAATTTTGACATTTTTCAGTCAAACCGTTGTTGTCTATCAGTCATACACTGGAGGCTAAGGGGGTCCACCAAAGAGCAGCACAGAGAAGTCCAAATGAAACATGATTTAGTGACTCGTACATGTAAGTACACATTGATGGCCTAAGACACGAAACGAGCGGTTTGTGTGAGAAAACCAACAGTATTTATATCGTTTTTACTTCTTGTAATCATAGCCACGACAAAATTATCTGACGGCACGGGCGCTTCGGTCCGGAAGTGATCGCTTGCGCGCCGACGTCACTCTTTGTTTATACAGAGATTTCGGAAGTTTTACCTTTCACTAAACATATTTAGATATACGGGAAACCGCAATGGAAGACGATTTCGGTATATCTAAATATGTTTAGTAAAAGGCAAAACTTCCGAAATCTCCGTGTAAATGTTGAGTGACGTCACACGCAAGCGATCACTTCCGGCGTAACATTGAACTGATTCAGTTCGGTTCAGTTGGACATCAACTGATTCAAATCACTGTGATTACACGAGGTAAAAACGATATAAATACTGTTGGTTATTCTCACACAAACCGCTCGTTTCGTGTCTTAGGCCGTCAATGTGTACTTACATGTACGAGTCATTAAATCATGTTTAATTTGGACTTCTCTGTGCTGCTCTTTGGTGGACCCCCTTAGCCTCCAGTGTATGACTGATAGACAACAACGGTTTGACTGAAAAATGACAAAATTGAAAATACTGTGGAAACAAAGACACCTACATCTTGGATGCTCTTGAGTAACACATTCTTATCCCAAAAAGTCATATAACTGACGTCTTGGGACGTCTTTTGACCATACGTCAATATCCGCCTTTTTAGGGCCCCCTTAAACGTCGGTAGATGGTGATCCCGGGCCGTCATACAACTGACGCTTTACCTTTAACGTCAGTTAGGTGACGGGTTAGGTTTAGGTCTGGGGTAGAGTTAGGATCCCATAACCTCATCTACCGACATTTAAGGGGGCCCTAAAAAGGCGGATATTGACGTATGGTCAAAAGACGTCCCAAAACGTCAGTTATATAACTTTTTGGGATGAGACTGCGTTGCCTTGAGGTAAGATAAAACGCATCAAATATTAATTTCAAAGTGAACTATCCCCTTAAGCGGACGTCATAAGTTGACCCCAGACAACAATATAATAAAATTTAAAAAGCCAGTCTTTAAATGTACCCAACTAAGCAAACCAAAAGCCAAGGCAACAGTGGCAAGGACCCAAAACTCCAGCAGGGACAGAATGGAGAAAGCTTGGGAAAGGCTCAGTCGACAAAGGAACAGTGTGTGATTCGGGCAGCATTGGATCGGAACATTGAGAGTATTTGTCCATTTCCATCTGTTTGGAAGTCGAATCACGCCCGTATGGAGACGAGTTGTTGAGGATCGTGTCGATGAGGTCGGCACTTATTTGTCTTTTAAAAAATATTACCGTATCATCAGAAAATTGACTTAATTCGATGTTCATAATCAGAAATGGTACTTCCTTATAATTGAGGATGGTTGACAACTAAATAAGCAAACATTTGAGTAGCCTATAAAATAAACAGTTTTAGGGACATTGGACAGCCTTGTCTAATATCACGCAAAATGTTAATTCTAGGAGTCATGCCTGTGTTAAGGGATATATAACTATTAATGTTGTTATAAAAACCTTGCAAAACCCTTCCTCAAAACCCATTCTAAGCATCGTAAATAAAAATTCATGCTCCACATTATCGAATGCTTAAAAAAAATATCTAAAAACAAAATGAGGCTTTCTGATTATATCCGTGATTGATAGTCTAATATGGTTTTGAATATATCTTGGTGAATGCTGATTGATATTTCTCTACAAGATTGCCAAGTACCAATTTAAGACGATTAGCATAAATCAAGGCAAGTAATTTATAATCTGTACAGAACAGAGTTATTGGTCTCCAATTATCTAAAATACTGTTTATACTCTTTTAGGTTTAGGTAACAAGGTTGTTAAAGCAGTTTTCATAGTAGGAGATAAACTTCCTTTCTGAATGCGTTAATAGTTTCTGAATATATTTCCAAAAATGTTTTAAAAAATCAATAGCTGATTTACAATTACTCGTTGTTTTAAAGCTATATTCATTTCCAAGGTCAACTCACCATCAATTAAAACTTTGTCTTCCTCTTTCAGTTTATGTGATTTCTTATTTTCCCAAATAATAAATTAATTATTTAAAAAAATAATAATTATTAAATTAATCTTAAACTTGCTAATCTTTTTATTTGTTTGTTTGTTTCCAAAGGACAAAAAAATATGAGGAACTTTTTTCTCCCTCCTCAATCCATCGTTCTCTCGATCGAATATAAGCTCCTTTTGCTTTTTCTGAATATAACTCCTCTAGTTGAGATTGCGGTGACTGTGTAATTTTGCTGAATTATCTGGTGATTCTTATATTAACTACTAAAGAGTTTATTTCTCCAATCAATCCCTTTTGTTTAGGTTTTCTCCTCACTGATAAAAAATGTATCAATTGCTATTTGTTTAACCTTAAATTTGAACCATTTCCATTTATTTAAAACATCTAACTTATCAATCTCCTCAATAAGAGCCAACACTTTGGTAAAATCTATCGTTCTTTAACAATTCATTATTAAACTTCCAAATATGGTTATCATGATCTAAATGCATGAGACTGGATGACCAATGGTTAATTTTAATACAACTCAAACACTCAGAATCTTGCTTTTTACCAAATAAAAATGTGGTCGTTACATTTAAAAACAAAACAAACAAACAAACAGATGTTACTGTTTTTGTTAATGAACATAAATTTAAAGAGAAGTTTAAAAACACAATTTATACAACTTTCACTTAGGAGCAAAAATCGGCCTTTAAGCTTGAAAGAAAAACAGATTTGACATACAGTATATCGTGATAATTATCGATATCGACTGATATAAAAACAATTATTGTGATAATTTTTTTTGGCCATATCGTCCAGCCCTACCCTAAACTGTCCTGTAACAGTGAATGTTAATCCTCTCTGACTATTCTTAACCAGTCATTTATTACATGGAACCAGAAGACAAACAACTGAAGCCTTAAAAACATATTTAAACATGTTTAACTTAAAAACACACTGTAAAAAAATGATTTTTTTGGTGAAGTAAATACTAGTGAAAAAACCCAATGTAATTTACTTGAAAAAGTTAGTTCAGGCAAGAATTTAAAAAACTAAGTAAATTCCCTATCAGTACTTAATTCAAGCGAGTATAAATGAAAGTGTAAATATCAACTCAATAAAATTATTTCTGATACTGGGGTTCCCATCATGCACTGGACCTTGAATAATCAATGAAGCTCATTTTTCACTAGTTTCCAGCTGTATTTACACTGTTTTATCATTGATTTTTTTGTTGTCAGTATTAGTAAATTGCCATTTTGTGACATTTCGAGTACATTTTTTGCTCAAAATGACAAAAACGACCCATCAAATGTTACCGCCATTGTGTATTGTCTACCAAGTATTGAGGTGTTTGCATTCACATGAGGCTTAATGTCTGACATGATGTATATATAAATTACTTTGATCTAAGTAAAGAACATACTATTAATGACTAATAATTCAAGATTATTGTTTTAGTGAAGTGTAATACAAAGGCAAAGGAAATTGATATTAATCAACCTTTTACAAGTCGAGTTAAAATTACTTATTTTTTGTAAAGTTTACTTAATTCCATATTCCAAGTAAATTTAACTTAAAGATTTCTAATTTAAGCTACTGATAAATATGTTTAGGTTTTTACTTGGCAAATCTTTGTTAATTTACTAGCATTTTCTGAGTGAGATAGTTTAGCAAGGTTTTTTCAAGTAAATCCTACTCCAAATTTTTTACAGTGCACATTTAACCATATTTAACTTAAAAACATATTTAATCAACAACTCACCATCCAGACGGCAGAAACACAGACAGATGAAAACAATCCGAAACATCTTCAACACTTTCAGTCCACAAATATGAAAAGACAAACTTTTCAAAACGGCTTCAGGAATAAAATGACAGATGAGCTGATGTGAAGCTTCTCTGTGTCTATTCTCTTCTTTACTGAGTGAGAAAACCAGAGTCCGTCTACGGAGAGCCTGGCCACTCCCACTCCCATAGAGAGAAAGAGCTGCGACCCGCTCTGGTGTCACATGGTTCATGTGAGCCCAATTGCATTATTGATAATAAAACACACATCCAAGTACCTTTTCAGCTATTATTGCATTTTGTTAATGTCAGTTTTGCATTTGGAGAGGCAGGGTGACAACTGCTAGATGAGTTTTAGACTATATTTTTGGAGGGAAAAGCTTAGTGTTCATGTTCACATGGGTAGTAGCACTGCTTTAGCGGCTCTAACTTAAAGGGATACTCCACTCTTTTTGGAAATAGTCTCATTTTAGTTACCACAGAGTTAAACAGTTGAGTTTTACCGTTTTCGAATCCATTCAGACGATTTTCTGATATTTAGAAGAATATCAGTAAACACACATTGACTTGCATAGTAGGAAAAAAAATATACTATGGAAGTCGATGAGACCAGAAACTGTCTGTTTACTGATATTCTTCTAAATATCAAAAAAATCAGCTGAATACATTCGAAAACGGTAAAACCCAACTGTTTAAGTCTGGGAGAGTGATAAAATGAGCCTATTTCCAAAAAAAGTGGAGTATCCCTTTAAAGACTTCACCCTGGTTCTAAGCCTAAACTTAAAGGATTAGTTCACTTTTGAAAAAACTTTTGCTGATAATTTACTCACCCCCATGTCATCCAAGATGTCCATGTCTTTCTTTCCTCAGTCGGAAAGAAATTTAGGTTTTTGATGAAAACATTACAGGATTTTTCTCCATATAATGGACTTCAATGGGAACCGGATGGTTCAAGGTCCAAAAGACGGTTCATAACAGTTTCAGATGCAGCTTCAAATGTCTTTAAACGACACCAGACGAGGAATAAGGGTCTTATCATGCGAAACGAGCGGTTATTTCAAAACTTATTCCAAAAATGTAACTTTTCTAAGGACAAATGCCAGCCTTGCTATATTCTGTGAGGCGCGTTTGTAATACGTAATTACGTTCAAAAGGTCACGGGCGACGTAGCCGAAAGTACAGAGTCAGTGTTTACAAGTTGAACGCATAGGTTAAACGTGCAAACTAACTCAAACACCGTTTCAAAAAAGGAATTAAAAGAAAAAACAACGATGTCGGATGATTTTGATTCTGTACTTTCGGCTACGTCGCCCGTGACCTTTTGAACGTAATTACGTATTACGTGACGTTACAAACGCGCCTCAGAGAATAGAGCAAGGCTAGCATTTGTCCTTAGAAAAGTTACATTTTTGGAATAAGTTTTGAAATAACCGCTCGTTTCGCATGATAAGACCCTTATTCCTCGTCTGGTGTCGTTTAAAGACATTTGAAGCTGCATCTGAAACTGTTATGAACCGTCTTTTGGACCTTGAACCATCCGGTTCCCATTGAAGTCCATTATATGGAGAAAAATCCTGGAATGTTTTCATCAAAAACCTAAATTTCTTTTCGACTGAGGAAAGAAAGACATGGACATCTTGGATGACATGGGGGAGAGTAAATTATCAGCAAAAGTTTTTTCAAAAGTGAACTACTCCTTTAAAGAGCCCCTATCATGGATTTTTGAAAATGACTGTTCATATGGTGTGGAATATAGCTCTAAGTGAATGAAAACATCCTGCAAAGATATATATCTGAAAGTGCACCGTATATAAAGTTATTGTCCTTCAAAAGTGAGAGTCGACTCTGAGTCTATGAAATGAATTGTTTTTGAAACGAGTCATTAGCTGTTTCGTCGTGACTGATGTAGATACAAAACATTAGCTCATTGGCCGCTCCCAACAACTGCGCGCGCAGACTTGAAGTCTAGAACACGTTCAAATACTTCAGCTGAATCGCATCATGTCGAGAAGACGCTGTTTTCTACATTGCAAAGACGGTTCAGCCACTTGTTTTCATTGTCCAGGGACGAGCATGTGAAGAATCAGTGGTCAGAGTTCATATTAGCAACAGTATAGCCCGAACCTTGTGTTCTCATTATTTTAATGACGAATCATTCAAAAACATAAATTAATTCAAATGTATAAAAGCCCCGTTTGATAATGTAGTATTATAAAAAATCTTTATTGATAAAGGCAAGCAAATTAAATGACAGATTAATCCAGCATTAGTAAAGTGAGATCTGTGTCTTTGAGAGAAATGTGTGTGTTTAGTCGAGCTTCAGTATTAGAGATCTGAACTATAAGAACAACACAAGACATGTGAGACTTTAACTGTGATTAGAAGTCATTTTTAAAGTCCCCAATCAAATATGAATGACTCGATCAGTAAAGAATCAGTATTTACAATGACAAACACTCACATTACACTAATGAGTTCATGAGAAAATATGTTGCTGTTTGTTCTCAGATTATGTTAAAATAAACATACAGTAAATGCCAGCATATAAAGCCATTACACATATATGAAGATTAATAAATGACAAAAAATAGTAATCTGATAAATGACACATTAGGTTTCTGATGTGTGAATATGAGCTTGATCTCGTTCAGCTCTTCTGGATCTGATGTCATAAACCACAAGAATGACAGTAGCCACGCCCACCAGAGCAGAGAGGACCAATCGGATCACAGCTTCAGTAGGACCACAGCAGTGGACAGAGTCTGAGGAGTAAAAGCATCAAACTGAGATCAGATCAGTTCATAAACGCTAATATCAGCGCTGACGTCAGCTAATATCAGCCGTACCTGAACATGATGTGTGACAGAGTTGAGGGATGTGGAGATGTTGAGTCTGGTTGCTGATGGGATTGTTCAGCACACAGATGTAGGTGTTTTTATCCTCATATTCCACATCCAGAGGCAGAGAGAGACTCATGTTGAGATCAGACACACTGATGTTGGACAATAAACTGGGTCCTTTATACCAGGAGAGAGTCACATGACCCACATTCACAGCTGAACACACCAATGAACATGAAGATGAAGATGAGGATGAAGAACAGTCTCTGCTGATGACGGGAACAGGCAGACGAGCTGGAAAACATCAGAGAGAAAAGAGAAATAAGAACAAATCTAATCAACAATCTTATTTTTGGCTCAGTCAGTGTGTTCAGTGTTTATATGATCTAGCATCTCAAACTAGAAAATGTAAATAATTGGTAAAACAACAAGAACATTTGAAGGACAGGAGATCTGATCTCTACTCACCATAGACTGAAACTCTGAAAGCTTTTAATGAGAAACGGTATGAAAATACAGCGCCTGCACTACTTTTGAGCTGTAGTTTATAATCTCCAGCTTGTTCAGTTGTGATGTTTGTGATGGTCAGAGATCCAGTTTGATTGTTCAGCTTCAGTTTGTCTCTGAATCTCCCGAGATAATCATCATATACAGTGATTCTGTCACCATAAATTTCAGCGATTAAAATGTTTTCATCTCCAAATATCCACCGAATCCAAAAATAACCCTTTATTTCAGTGAGATCAGAGTTTATAGTGAGTGATTCTCCCTTCATCACTGATATTTCAACTGGATCAACAAACAGAAACAGAGTTAGCAGAGATATTGATATTATAAAACAAAAACAGAAAAGAAACAAAATGGTGTTTAGATTAATATTGTTTTGTTTGATTTAAAAAATAAGATGGTAAAACAAACATTTAACCAACCAATGACAGCGAGGAGGACATCACTGACCGAACCAAATATAGATTTATATTTTCCAGCATGTCGTTTATAATGTCCAGCTTGTTCAGTTGTGATGTTTATGACGGTCAGAGATCCAGTTTGATTGTTCAGCTTCAGTCTGTCTCTGAATCTCCCATCAAGAACATCATAATTTACAGCGATTCTGTCGGCCCGTTTATGGATTTTAGCGATTAAAGTTTCTTCATCTTCAAACTTCCACTGAATCACATCATTATCCTTTATTTCAGTGAGACCAGAGTTTAGAGTGACTGATTCTCCCTCCATCACTGACACTGACGTCACTGGTCCTGATACCAAAAAAAAAAAAAAAAACACACACTCAGAACAAACACAAACAGGGTTTGTCAGATTAATGATGTGAAATCACTTAATAATGTTTTACTAAAATGTCAGTTTGAAATAATATCACAAAACAAACAAAAATGGAAACAAAACGGCAAATTAATTAATTTAAATGTTGTCATTAAACACAGGTGAAACTAATGTGTTCAGCCTCACCATAGGAACCAATATAGACCCTTCTCTTTCTCACACCGTTGATCTGGAGATGATAACGTCCAATCTGTTTAGTTGTGATGTTTGTGATGGTCAGAGATCCAGTGTGTTTGTTCAGCTTCAGTCTGTCTCTGAATCTCCCATCAAGAACATCATCATATACAGCGATTCTGTCGGCCGTTACATTGATTTCCGCGATTAAAGTTTCTTCATCTCCAAACCTCCACTGAATCACATCATCATCCTTTATTTCAGTGAGATCAGAGTTTAGAGTGACTGAATCTCCCTTCATCATAATCTTCTCTTCATCTTTATCAGCAAACACACCTGAAGAACAGAGTTTTTCACAAAGCTTTAAAATCACTTGATGTTGGTTTGATGAAGCTTCACTAGAATAATTTTAATTCATTTAAATGTGATATTAATAATATTCTTCGGCAACACAAAGACAAACGATGAAAAATGAAATAGTATAAATAGATTTATATATGGGACAAAAACGTCTCTGTAATGTATGTATGTAACCCTTGTTTCCTGAGGGAACGAGACGCTGCGTTGAACGCTGTGGGAACGCCCCTGCGTTGTGCAGTCCAATCAGTCCAATGGAGAGACGGAACGTCATAGGTGGGACATAACTAACACATGATGACCTCTCAGGTCTGCTAGGAAGTGTTTCAAAGCCTGAAACGCTGCCAAGATTTCTAGACAATTTACATGACAATGCCATGATAGATGATGGTCTTGCCACTAGGGATGGGTATCGTTAAGGTTTTATCGGTATTACTACTCTTACCGATAC